AGAGGACAGGGTCAGGGTACCTGAACAGAGGCAGGAGATGGGATGGGGACAGAGATGGGGGCAGGACAGGCAATAGAGGCAGGGTTCAGAGAAAGGGAAAGGAGATAGAGGACTGGGGCAGGGGACAGGGGACATTGGACAGGGCCCGGTCGCTGGGGACTTACCGAGCGCGCGCGGGGCGCAGAGCTGAGAGCGGGGCTGGCTCTGCTGCCGGTGGAAGACCAGCCAGCCCCGCCCCGCGGCCCTTCCCGTCGGGAGGCGACAGGGGGCGCGCGCACCCTGACCCGAGTCAACACTGCTCACCCCCCACCTCCTCCAGTCTACACACCCACAGGGCTCTCCGTGGTCACCGTCTGCTCTGAGGAGGGTCGTGCCCCGCATCCTCGCGTTCTGGGGATCCCCGTAGGACGGGGAGGGGTGCAGCTGGCGCAGCACAGACGGGGAGCATCCCGCGGAGAGGTGCGCTCCGGGTCCTCCAGCCCTACGCTCCTGGGGCCACCCGGCGGCGATGAGCGGCTAAACCGGCCCCTGCTGCCCGTCTGGGGCTTCAGGTGGCCTCTGCTAGGCTCATTTCTCCCGAGAGCCCCCCAGTTCCCCAGAGCCTCAGAAATTCCTGCACCCGCTGCACCTCCTCGTCCACCCGCCCCAGTCAGCTCTGCGGTGCTCCTGTCCCCCGTCTCCTCAGGGCCTCGGCCAGGGTGTCCCCCGCCCCCGGTCGGCGCCTGGAACCACCGCCCCTACCCCAGACGCTGGGACCAGCTGGGACCAGCCCCTTGCCTGTCCTCAGCATAGAGGACAGTCTCCAGCCCTGTTTGCCTGGAGATATCTCCGGGGAGGAGGTTGGTAAAGAATGGGGGTTCCCACGGACACCCCAGGAGTGGCCCGGTAATGTGGGAGCCAATGAGACACGAGGGGACCCTGGTGAGACCCGGGGGAGAGGCCCCGGCCCAGGAGTCTTTCAGGACAGACCCTGGCAATGCCGGGTGGGACCCGAGCTGAGTCTGTCAGGGCTGATTCTGTCAGGACGGGTATGTGGGGGTGGGGGTGGTGCCTGTCAGGGCGGGGTGGGGCCTGTAGGGCGGAGCCTGTCGGGTAGGGGCGGGGCCTGTAGGGCGAGGTCTTTAGGGCGGAGCCTGTCAGGACGGGTATGGGGGGGTGGGGGTGGTGCCTGTCAGGGCGGGGCGGGGCTGTAGGGCGGAGCCTGTCAGGACAGGCATGTGGGGGGTGGGGGTGGTGCCTGTCAGGGCAGGGCGGGGCTGTAGGGCGGAGCCTGTCAGGACAGGCATGTGGGGGGTGGGGGTGGTGCCTGTCAGGGCGGGGCGGGGCTGTAGGGCGGAGCCTGTCAGGACGGGTATGTGGGGGGTGGGGGGTGGTGCCTGTCAGGGCAGGGCGGGGCTGTAGGGCGGAGCCTGTCAGGACAGGCATGTGGGGGGTGGGGGTGGTGCCTGTCAGGGCGGAGCGGGGCTGTAGGGCGGAGCCTGTCAGGACGGATATGTGGGGGGTGGGGGTGGTGCCTGTCAGGGCGGAGCGGGGCTGTAGGGCGGAGCCTGTCAGGACGGGTATGTGGGGGGTGGGGGCGGTGCCTGTCAGGGCAGGGCGGGGCTGTAGGGCGGAGCCTGTCAGGACGGGTATGTGGGGGGTGGGGGCGGTGCCTGTTAGGGCAGGGCGGGGCTGTAGGGCGGAGCCTGTCAGGACGGGTATGTGGGGGGTGGGGGCGGTGCCTGTTAGGGCAGGGCGGGGCTGTAGGACGGAGCCTGTCAGGACAGGCATGTGGGGGGTGGGGGTGGTGCCTGTCAGGGCAGGGCGGGGCTGTAGGGCGGAGCCTGTCAGGACGGGTATGTGGGGGGTGGGGGCGGTGCCTGTCAGGGCGGGGCGGGTCTGTAGGGCGGAGCCTGTCAGGACGGGTATGTGGGGGGTGGGGGCGGTGCCTGTCAGGGCAGGGCGGGGCTGTAGGGCGGAGCCTGTCAGGACAGGCATGTGGGGGTGGGGGTGGTGCCTGTCAGAGTGGGGCGGGGTTTTTAGGGCGGAGCCTGTCAGGACGGGTATGTGGGGGGTGGGGGCGGTGCCTGTCAGGGCGGGGCGGGGTCTGTAGGGCGGAGCCTGTCAGGACAGGCATGTGGGGGTGGGGGTGGTGCCTGTCAGAGTGGGGCGGGGTTTTTAGGGCGGAGCCTGTCAGGACGGGTATGTGGGGGGTGGGGGCGGTGCCTGTCAGGGCGGGGCGGGGTCTGTAGGGCGGAGCCTGTCAGGACAGGCATGTGGGGGTGGGGGTGGTGCCTGTCAGAGTGGGGCGGGGTTTTTAGGGCGGAGCCTGTCAGGACGGGTATGTGGGGGGGTGGGGGCGGTGCCTGTCAGGGCGGGGCGGGGTCTGTAGGGCGGAGCCTCTCAGGACGGGTATGTGGGGGGTGGGGGCGGTGCCTGTCAGGGCAGGGCGGGGCTGTAGGGCGGAGCCTGTCAGGACAGGCATGTGGGGGTGGGGGTGGTGCCTGTCAGAGTGGGGCGGGGTCTGTAGGGCGGAGCCTGTCAGGACGGGTATGTGGGGGTGGGGGTGGTGCCTTTCAGGGCGGGTCAGGGTCTGTAGGGCGGAGCCTGTCAGGACAGGCATGTGGGGGTGGGGGTGGTGCCTGTCAGAGTGGGGCGGGGTCTTTAGGGCGGAGCCTGTCAAGACGGGTATGTAGGGGTGGGGGTGGTGCCTTCGGGGCGGGTCAGGGTTTGTAGGGCGGAGACTGTCAGGACAGGCATGTGGGGGGTGGGGGTGGTGCCGGGCCTTTAGGGCGGAGCCTGTTGGGTGGGCGGGGCCCTGAGGCGGAGCCTTCCGGGGGGAGGGGCGTGTTAGCGCAGAGCCTGTCAGCGCGGGGTGGGTCTGTCGGGGAGAGGAGAGGCGGGGTTGGAGGCTGTCAGGGGGCGCCGGAGAGATTGTCAGGGCGAGGCGGGCCTGTCGGGACAGGGCAGGACAGAGCAGGCAGGGCAGGGTTCTCCACAGCCCACCGAGGGTCATTTCCTGGCACAAGACCATCATCTTCCGTGACGGGTTTCCTTCCTGGAGACCCTGACTCATCTGCCTGGTGACCTGTGGACCTGACACCTACCCCACGCGCTCGGCTGCTCCGGAGAACCTTCCAGACTCCCGAGGGTGAGGGTATCAGGCCCGAGTTCTGGCCCCAACAGCAGTCCAGGCCTTGGCTAGTGACGACACGGAGCCAGTGTTCCTGGACAGCACAGGAGAGCCCAGTGTGGGCAACTGGCCGCATTAGAGCCAACGCTCCCCAGCTCCAGGGGACTGGCAGCCTCGGCAGGCCCTCTCCCGCCGGGAGAGTTCTGGGCAAGGGTACCTACTGTCACGGGGGGCTCTGGGCTCCTCTGGGGTTTGTGAGCGTGCAGGCGGACTAGGCGAAACCTCGGGGGTGTGGCAGCAGGGACTGCGCTAGGCAGCAGGTGCGCCTCCTGGTGGACAGAGCGCGGTACAGCAGACGCCGCGTCCAAATTTCCGCTCCCCCTCTCCAGAGTAGGACCAGTCCTGGCTTCCTCATTCCTCCTTACAGAACAGGTAAACGTGGACTATAACGCTAGGGATGTGGCCCACAATTAATCCCTGGCGCTGCATGGGTCCCCTGTAGGCGTGACCCTATAATGATTTTTTTGTTTTATTTGGCCATACCCGGCAGTGCTCAGGACTTACTCCTGACTGCTCTGGGATCATTCTGGAGGTAGGATAGCAGGTAAGGATAGCAGGTAAGATAGGATAGCAGGTAAATGTCTTGCACATAGATGATCCGGGTTCAACTCCTGGCATCCCATATTCCTGAGCACCACCAGGAGTGATTCCTGAGTGCAAAGTCCCTGAGCATCACCTGTGGACACTCCCAAAAACAAAAAAGTCAAAAGAGGGTCAGAGAGTGCAAGGGTTAAGGCACTAACAAGAGGACGAGAGTCATGGCACCCCCAGGAAGGTGGCAAGGACTGAGAACAGGAGAGAAAATGGTATGCATTATGCTGAATTTGTTCTGATACTAGGGAGCAATAAGGCAGGTCCTGAAATCCTGGAGTCCAGTATGTCACTTCTGAGCATCAGCACAGTGAAATGCCATTGATGGACAAGAAAGAAACAAAGCCAGGCATAAATGCACGATGGAATAGCACCAGCGTTAAGAGGGAAATTTTGGTACAAGATAAACCTGAGGACAATGCTCAGGAAATATCCCAACAGACAAGTGACCTGCTCCAATGCACAGAGAAGTGGACAGAGGTTCTGGAGTGTGAGGACACTACGGAATGGGGACTGAGTTTTCGGCAAGGGGAGATGAAATTGCTCAGGAGACAGAGGGCAGATGGCTGTATGACCATGTGGATGTACTTTGCATCACTTGGACAGATAATACCACCTTGCCCAATATCCATTTATCCTTTCAGATACTGATATTCAGGTCTTAAGAGGCAGCCATGGGTTGGACTCCCAGAGTATCTGTCTGGGGGCGGTCTCTCCCTAATCCAGTATTGCACAGATTCCCTTACATGTACACTGAGATACACACATTCCCTCGTATGCACACTCAGACATGCACATTAGCTCACATGCACACTCAGAAACACACACTCCCTCACATACTCACGCAGCTGTTCACATGCACACTCACTCCCTCACATATACACTTAAGCACACACACTCCTTCACGTGCACGCTCAGGCATACATACTCCCTCACATGCACACTCAGGCAAACACACTCATTTTTAGGCATACTTGCACATACTCTCATTTGCACGTAGTTAGGCTCACCCTCACTTGCACTTTCTCTCAAGCATACTCAGGCACATATAGTCCCTCATATACACAGACATGGGTCCCAGGCCCATTTTCAGATCACTGTTAGCTAGAACCTGAATACCCTTACGAGATCCAGCCCCAACTCTGGGGAAGCACATCAAGGGGAGGACAGAGCTCTTCACATCTGAGGGCATGCTGAGGACCCGTCGGGGCCATTTTGAATGTCTGAGACTCCGAGACCCGGGGCACATCAGCTTTATTGTGACAGTGCATATGCAAACACAATGGCCCCTTTAAAAAAGTAAGGCACATGAAAGTGTGCAAGTCCCCACGGCCACTGAGTGTCTGGGCTCCAGGAGAGATCATCTAAAAAGCACATGATGATTTCTGAGCATGCAGAATACTTGAACATTATTACCTCTTACCTCATGGCACTATTAAAAGTCACAAACCAAGTTTGTATCTGAATAATAATAGAACTATTCAAATTGCAAAAACAATCAGCTTATCCACATATGTACAATTGGGTCCCCGGATATCAATCATATAAAATCTAAAGGAAGAATAACAGCATCTAACTGCATCCGTTTTCTGCTCTGTTATATGGAAGAGATTTGGCATTTCCAGTCTTTTTCAATAAATCATGCTGCTATGTGTGAGGCCGGTGTTACACGATGCTGAAGACCATGGAGAGATACTGTTCGTATGACACCTGGATCCAGCCATCCTGGTCTGTGTCGTAGCGTCTGAATATATCTGTCAGCCTCTGAAGAAACAAGACAGTCAGTGCTCCGTATTTGTTAAACTCAAAGAACAGATCTATTTGGAAAAAGACAATTAGAACCCAATCTCAAAATGATTCAAGGCTCCACACCCTCAACTCAGGGGCCCACCAAACAGTGTCCACCAAGTTTTTCCCCAAGAAGGACATGGGTCTGGTGGGACACAAATAAGAGTCAGGAAAAAGGGCAGGAAGAGGGATGAAGGCTCATCCCCCTGGACTGTGTGCAGCCCTGGGTCCTGGGGGGCCATGCCCTGCTGCTGATCCTGGGCCTCCCCTCCCAAGCTAAGGCGTTCTCATGGGTAGCCAGGCCAGGGAGGCCAGACCCTCAGCTGGAGTACAGAAGGGCCAGTGTGCCTGACTGGCTCAGAGGCAAGATGACCTGGTTAGGGCTGACTGATGCCAGGCTAGCCCACTCTGGAAGCCTCTGAGAATTCTGACCAACACCAGTTTTCAGGAGAGCAGAGGGTTAGCACCCAGGTCCATGGTGACCTCACTGAGCCCAGTCATCCCTCTTCAGGGACCGTCGGCTACACTACTCCTTGCTGAGCAGTGGGGACAGCTGACAATAGAGTTCCGACAGAGGGGACAATCTCTTCATGCTCCTCACTGAACAGTGGATAATAAAGGGTCTGACGGAGGAGACTGTCTCCACATGCTCTTCACTAAAAAACTGAGAGTAAAGGGTCCCAATGGTGGGGACAGTTCTCACATTCTCATCATAAACAAGAGACACTGTGAGACTAACTGTAAAACCTACCAGCACTGGGGTCCGAGAGAGCTCGCCTTGCTTGCCTCATACGCAACCAACTCCAGGTTTATCCCTCGCACTTATTATGGTTCCCTGAGCCCCACGAGGAGTGATTCCTGATCACAGAGCCAAGAGTCAGCCCTGAACACTGTCAGGGCTGAGTTCCCCCAATATATCCAGCAGCAGTAGGCAGGCAGCTCCGGGGGGAAGCTTGATTACCTATGCTGTTCTGCCACCTCCATGGGAGCTGCAGGCCACTCTCAAAAATTGGGTGGGACCAGGAGTCACTGTGGGGCTACGGGCATACACATGGCCACTGAAAATCCAGTGGGGTACAGACAGAACAGGATCTCCCAAACTGGAGTCCCACTCCCACCAGCAACTGGCATAGCTGGGGAACTTAGTTGCTTAGAGAAGTCAAATTTCTGGGATGGGGGAAGCAGATGTCTCCCTCCAGGGACCCTCTGCCTGACAGTGACTCGGGGGCAGCTGTGCAGTGGCCACCTGGCACCTTCACAGGTCCCAGCAGGGCTGCTGAATGTGCTACCCACACAGACACACAAGCCCTGCCCAGGCTTTCAGCAGCAGAGACTTCGCTGCCTCGTTGTGCAGCATTTCCCAAATCCCAAACTACATATGGTTGGGGGTGGGGCGAGTGGTGTCTCCCTCCTGCTGCCGAGGCCTGGGTGGCAATACTTAATCAGGCTGTGTGATGGTTTCCAGTGCTCAGAGAGCTCCAGAACACTTTAGTGATGCCAGGGTTGAGTCTGGGGCCCCATGCATCCCAGACACGCACTCCAGCCTCCCAAATTACATGTACAAGCTTTGGGCTGTCCACATCTTTCAGAGAGTTGTGTAGTGTACGAGACCCCACCTTCTATTGAAGTGGGGCAATTTCAGAGGTAGGTTCTACTCCTCCATGGAGCCTGCCTCAGGGTAAGAGGGAGGGTGCCTGACCCTCACTGCAGCCAGGCTTGCAGGTAATAAGCACCTGTGTGTACCAGCCAGCAATTCTGCACTGCATTTTCAAATGGATTCGCAACACACCAGCACCACACGTTTCTAAGGCTTGATTAAGAAACTTGAGCCTCTGCCCATACACAGGGATGAAGGCCTTGGTGAGAACAAGGCTGCTGCCTCCGCCTTTGGGGGGTGTCTTGGGCAGGTCACCTCTAGGGAAAAGAAAAAGATAGGATATCCAGAAGGACAGAGCACAGCCACCCATGGCCAGGACTGACCTCATTGGCCCCACAGGGAAGCCTGCTGAGGAAGGCAGGCATGAAGGTCACAATGGAGTGACCCAGTTTCGGATGGAAATGCAGTGAAAACTGCAGATTATTTACCACAAAAATAGCTGGTCACAGCCTGGAGCAAATGCTCTTTCTCTTTACAATGGTCTGCTCGTGAGTATTCCCAAGGGGAATGAGAACCATTACTTCACCAGGGACCAGGTGACCAGAAACTCATCTTATTCATCTAATGCTACTAAACCACAGATTCCAGAAAGGAGGTCCTTGTGTCCACTTTCATAGCTCGCCCATTCCAGTTCTGCAACTCAACTCTCTGGAGTCTCCCATTACCTGCAGGACGATGCAGCCCTGGATGAAGTCATCGAAGGCAATCTGGCCCCGTCCTTGCCTGTCGAACTTTCGAATGAGAATGTCGTGAAACTGGTCAGAGAGCCGGTACCCTGAAAGAGGAAATAAACAATAAAGGAGGTCCAGGAGAGCGGCCATTCCCTGCAGCTCTTTCAGCTGGACACCTGCACTGCTCATGCCTGGGGCAGCAGGAGAAATTGGGGGCACGAAGATGTGCAGGTGAACCCACTTCTCAGGCAGCGGAGCAGAATACCACGAGTGCTGACCACTAGTGTGGCAACACCATAGAAAGGATCCTGAAGGCCCCTGGACTACAAAACAAGCCTTAAGGAGCAGACTCCCAACAGGTCACACTTCAGGCACTGATCACGGCCATGTCACAAGGGCTCGCTGCTTCCATTCTAACCCGTGGAGGGCATGAACAGATTCATAGCAAGGTCAGAGCCAGGGGGGACTGCGCTACCAGAGTCCTGGCTCCCTCCCCCACTGCCCCACTACCTGATGCTGTGAGGTCTCCTTATTCAGAAAAAAGACTGTTACCGTTTCAGGCTTTGTTGGGCTTCTGGCAAGGACATGGAACCTCCTATCACGTTCAGTCCCCACACCAGCACTTTTTTAGTCACTTCAAACATGCACACACGAAGAGCACCTTCCAGAGTGACCAGGTGTCCTGGGTATCTGTAATCCCAACCCAAGGTCCCTTCCTGCAAGCCAACCCAGCCCGCAAAGACAACACAATCTGAGCAGCCTCAGATCCTCACTCACAGGGTCCCATGGACAGACAGAGGCCTGGGCTGAGAGCAGAGCACGGGGCACAGCAAGAGGGAGGGAGGGGAAAGACTGGGAAAGGACAGATGTCATGGCACACACAGGCCCTGACCTCCAGCTGCAATTGCCCTCATGCTTAGTAAGGCCACAAGAAACAAAAAGAAGGAGATGAGCCAGGGACAGGCAGTGGGGACAAATGTGCCGCATGCTCTCACCACCAGAGCAGCCAGCATCGTCTAACCCCGGCTCCCGTCAGGAAGAGGAGGATACCGAGGTCCAGAGTAAAGTCAAGGCATAGCGCAGAGACAAGCACAAGGGGCCAGACTGAGAGTCTGTCCAACGTAGGGCATCCTGGACACTGCAGGGTCCCTGCTCCATGGTCCTCTCTGGTGGGCAGCCTCCACCCTCCTCTCTGACCACTCTCTTAGGAGGCTACTGTCTGCCCACTGACCCCTTCCTACAAGACCCCAACCCAGTACCTATCACTCCAAGCAAAGTGGGTCAGCTACTACTGAGTCTACCTCAGAGAGCTGGAGTTGACCTGGTACCTAGGCCTGATCCACACCATGGAGACAGAACTCCCTGCAGAGTCAGGGCCTGTCTGAACCTGTGTCCACATTCCTTGGGTGAGAAATGCGGGGGGAGGGGGGATAGGAGGGGGAATGGATGCAGGGTACAGGCCCAAAGCAGGGTGAGAGGAGAAAAGTGCTCAGGTATATGTGTCTACATGGTCTTAAGGCCCCTCAAGCTTTCCCTGGAAATCAAGGCACAAAAAGCATCTTCTAGGCCAGACACTTCAGGGTTATGTCATCCCCAACAAATCAGGATGTGGGCGGTATTTGAATGTGCCTGCACTCCCGTCTTCCTTTGTGAGTGAAAATGATGCTTCCTCACAAACAAGTGCTGTGAGAGGCCTCTGACTGACTCCTCTGGAAGTGTGCTATGTCTATGTCTGCACCCTACAGCACACACTCAGGTCTCATGGCATTGAGAACGGGCATCTGTGTTGCCTGCACCTCACAGAAGCACTTGGCAGGAGCTGCCCCTCCCCTTTCACCCCAGGATTCATTTAAATGGTCTGGGAAGCCACATTCTCAATGGGCTGGGACATCACACCACTCCGCAGAAGCACTCCACAGAAAACACACACTTGTATAGCCCTTATCTCATTTTGGATGAAAATCTGCATAAAAGTCTTCATGTCAAATAGACGCTTCATGATGTAAAAAACCTGCCTGATGCAAGCAAATGTTTTATACACACTAAGTTACAAAACAAGACAAACTGGTTTCAGATGGCTTGAAAGGCAGCTGGGCTCCAAAATGAAATATGCTACACAAGCAAGAAAGGTGGGTTACCGAAACCTGACAGTGCTTGCTTGAGCTCATTCTTGTCGATCATGCCAGAGTTGTCCCGGTCGTAGGTGCGGAAAACGTTCTGCCAGTCCGTGATGTACTTCCAGACACCTGTGAACTCGCTGAAGTTCACGCCGGCCTTGTTTTCTCGATCGAACATGGCTGAGACAAGAGCACGGGAAGAGGCAGGGCATGGTCACAGCACACACCAGCACCCCTGGGCCCCTCATGAGGTGGGTTAGCAGGGAACAGGGTCCCACCCTGTCCACATGGACAGGGTAGCAGCAAGCCCGTCACTTGTGCCTCTACTTACATATGATGGACCTCACAGTCACGGGGTTGAATGGCGTCCACGTGCCTGCAAAGACAGGGACTCAAGTGAGCAGGACGACGTTTCAGGACTCTTGCTTTCTGGTCTAAGAGAAGGCCCAGGAAGGGACACTCCTGCACCTCCGACACCCTGTGACACCAGGGAACACTCCTGCCCTCCCTACGCACCATGACACCAGAGGACACTCCTGCCTCTCCACTCCAACACCCTGTGATATCGGAGGACACTCCTGGCCCTCACCTCCAGGGGCGGGGGCATTTTTGGGGTTCGTGTGTGCACAGGAGTTGCTGGACCCTCTGAAACTTGAAGGACCCTTGAAACTAAGAAGGATCTGTCTGTAGGGCCAGGGAGGAACTCCTCTTATGTGGATTAAGAAGGTGTTTCTTGGAAGCCCCATTTGATAGGAACACCCATTTTCTTCCTTCCATGCATGAAAGATTTCAGTTCTGGGGCACCTAGCTCACACCCATGAGCCCAGGCTCTCTGACTAGCTACTTTCAGCCCACGACGTGATCTCACCAAAGACAAGAGCTTCACCTCACTTCTCTGTCTCAGGTAATAGAAACGCTTCCACAGCGGGGAGGACACTTGCTTTACATACAGTCAATCCAGTTCAAACCCAGGACCATATATGATCCCCAAACACCACCAGGAGTGATCCCTGAGCACAGAGCCTAGAACAAGTCCTGAGCACTTACTCTGTGTGGCCCTGCTGGGTGTGAGCACTGCTGGGTGTGGCCCAGAAACAAACAAGAAAAACGTTTCTCAGGAGCCATGTGAGTTGAGCCTCTGTGCTCACAAGCACAACTCTGTGCTTCCTCCGTGGTTCCCTCTGCCCCAGCCCCTGAGCCTGCCAGCACGCCAGGTCTGACTGGCAGCTCCTGGCAGTAGAGTGACGGACACACGGGCTGGGGAAAAGCATGACTGGAATCTGCATAAAGACAAGCATAAAGGAAGTTCTGAACACAGACCAAATCTGCTCTGCCCTCCCATTCTCTGGGCGTCGGGGTAGCATCTGAGGCCCTGCACACCTGCACCCTGGGACAGATGTGAGGTTTGTGCTCTCCCTCTGCCTCTTTCCCTCCTGTACCACTGAACTGGGCCAGAGAAGCATCTGTGGATGTAAGAGAGCAGAGCCAGCCACACTGTTCGCAAGAGAGTAGACAGGGCCGGTACCACCAGGAAACAGAAAAGGTGTAGTACTCACTCATGTGGGACTCACACGACACTCTGGGCTCAGAGTTTTGGCAGTGCTGGGCATGAGCCATGCTAGTCTCAGGCTCTGCAAGCCTGTGGCCTGGCTGCCATCAAACACCCAAGCTTCAGGCCTGTCGTAAGGCTGGGACACGGCAGGATTCAACAGCAACATCTGCGTCAGCAGCTGTGGTCAGTGCCTGAGCCTGCCATGGGTCTCATATTCATGCCTATCTCTGGAAGGCCAGAGGCCATGCCAACCGGTAGCTGAAGGAGCTGCTGAAAGGCGACTTTGTGCCCACGAACATGGGTCAGCCCAATACCAAACCCACTCACAGCACCATCCCAGGCGCTCCTGGCCGGTCTGGGCCTGGACCACTTCATCTCCAAGAACCAGACGACAGAAGCACATGCTGACCCTGGGCAGTTCTCCTCCAGTACCACCAGGGGACAGCACCAAGGCCTTGAAGAGCACTGAGATAGCATGCAGATCTCAGGAACAGCCCTGAATTCAGTGGGCAGAAGGCTCAATTCACAAAGAACACCAGGAACTAGACCACCCTTTTACAGGGGAACTCTCTCCATACCCTGGCAGCAGAGCTGTCCTCAGTTTTTTAAGTTTTCTTTCTCTATACTATCCACCTGGCCCCCTGTAATCCCATCAACGGCCAAGATTCAGAGACTATAAAACCCAGCTCCCGGACGAGAACAGTGCAGTCTCCTAACCCCCGCGCCTGGCTGTTCCTCGCCGGGGCCCCTTGGAGGGGAGCAGGTTGAGCTTTCCTCCCCGCCCCGACCAGGGCTCCAGCAGCCGACGACCTCCAGGACCAGCTACCACCATGCTGAGACCACTCTCCGCACACATGAAGGTACTAGCAGAGGGACAAATCCACGCGGGTTCCGGGGCCGAGATCTCCAAGCCTACTCGGATTGGAGTCGAGCATCCTCCACCCAGATCCTCCAAATTCCAGTAGGCGGGGGTCACACCCACCACCTGGCCCCCTGGCACCGTGTAATCCCATCAACGGCCAAGACTCAGAGACTATAAAATCCAGCTCCCGGAACCGCGCGGCCGCATTTGCGGCTGCGCGACATCTTATCAGGACATCTTTTTTATGACATCTTATTATCTCATTCCTACTTTGGACAAACTTGCAGGCTATCGAATGTAGCCTACCCACAGGGCAGAGTCTGGTAAACTCCCTGTGGCGTACCAAATATGCCGAATACCAGTAACAATGATGAGTCTCATTCTCCTAAAGAGCCTTGAATATAATCTCAGGACTAGGATGAAAGAGACGTTACTGGGGCCTGCTCGAGGCAATCGACGAATAACAGGATGATGAAATGAAATGAAAACGAAAATACTATCCTGTACTCCAAAATAGGAGGCAGGTGAGGTGGATAGGATGCTCGCCTTGCACACAGCCGACCCAATTTGATCCTCAGCTTCCCATATGGTCCCCCAAGTCCTGTCAGGAGTAACTCCTGAGTGTAGAGCCAGGAGTAAGCCCTGAGCATCACCTGGTGTGACCCATAAACACAAAAAGCAAAAAAAACTAGCCTGTGTATATGAGCACGAGTTAATGGCACCCAGAGAGCTGGAACACTAGCTCCCTGAAACCTGGTGGAAACAACCACACTTTTCCACATGATGGGCTGACGGCCTACCACAATGCCTCCAACCTGGGGCCCAGCCTCCACAGCTTTTCTGTGAGATTTGGATGGGCCGCGTGGGACCCCCTTCAGGGCTCTGGCCTCTGGGGGTGCAGTAGGTATCTTCCTCACACTAGGAGAGGGGATGCAGCCCCTCCAAAGCCTCTGAAGACCAACAACGCCCATCCTGTAGCTCACAACCATGCCGCTGTGTGTGCTCAGGGCACAGCTAATGGCACATCTGTCACACACCAGACACCTCTGTCTTAATATGGGTCTCAGTCCAATGCAGTCTGTATAACTGAATGTGGCGTCACTGTAAAAGAAATTTATTATTTGGTAAAAGAAACGGTTTATTTGTATTCCCACTGTGTACTCCTATAGTTGAGGTTCACGTAAAGAGTTTTCAGGTCAAAATGAGTCACAGGTAGAAAAAGTTCAAGTCATGTCTAGGTCGGAGTCAGCTTGCGAGCACAGGCTCAAATCCAGGTGTGAAAGTGGCCCCACACCCAAAGTAAACAAGGAAGCAGCCCTAGTGAACAGTCTGTGAGGGACCCTGCAGATGGGCTGGGAAGGCGCTGCTGCAGAAAGGGCGGCAGCAGACTGCCAGCGAGGCTACAAGCATGCAGAGCAGGGTCTAGGGCAGCAGCACCTGCATCCGGCAAGAGAAACCAAGCCCAACAGAGGATGAACCCCAAATCCCCTCCCAAAGAAACTGAGCAGCCTATAATCTGCCCAAAAACTTGTGCAATCTATACAAGTTTCCGGAAAGCACAAACGTGACAAGCTGAGTCCCTTCCAGTATGCCTGAAACTTTCTCCAGCAACTTTTACACAACCTGGGCATAGAGATGCACACAGCAGGGAGGCAAATCAGGAGAGAAACTTGTTGATTTCTGAGAATCAGTAAAGAAAATTTGCCCTTTTTTTTTGGGGGGGGGGAGGAACCACACCTGGATATGCTCAAAAAGCAGAACTATCAGGCCTACACCTCCAGGCCAAGTATGTCTTCAAGTGGCCACTAGTCTCTGCTGTGAAACTATCCTTCTGAGGGACCAGAGCAACAGCACAAAGGTTCAAGTGTTTTCTAGCCTGCAGCTGTGGGGAAAACTCAGGTTTCAAATCCTGGCATGCACAGGGTCCCCTGAGCACAGAGCCGGGGTGGCTTCTGGGCTAAGTGTGGCCATTCTTCCCAACTCACACCCCAGGTCTTTTAGCAAAAAGTCTAGTTTGTTACATCCAAGCCATGTAAAGGCAAACTTGCAAAAGGCACAGAAGACGCTTCCCAGTAGGTGATTCCAAGGCACACTATGAAACGAGGCGGTTCCAGCTCAAGTCAGACATGGCAGACAGAGCCTGCTCTGTGCCCTGCACACCACTAACCACAGCCTCCCCATGAGCCAGCACTGACAACGGACTCACTGTAATAGCCATAAGGGCCGCTCCAGAGAACTGTCTCTCAAAGAGCACTGTCACAGACTCACTCAAGGGACAGCCTGGCTGTTCTACAGTCTGAGTTTTCCGACCAGTAATGAACAATGAACCAACTCTCTGAAACAGCCCAAAACCCACATGTGGAACAGAAACTCAGGGAGTACCAATGAGAATCACTTCAGGCACAGTTATCGGTAACAGAGATGCAGGAGAGTAAGGAGAATGGATACAGAGGAGAATGGACACAGCCACCAGTGACCACGGTTCTGTGAGTTGACAGTCATTCACCTGCTAACCCCGGGTAGCAGAAGGTAGCCAGAGAAGTCAGAAAAATGGATAGAGAGATCAGGGAAGGAGGAAACTGAGACCGGGCCCGGGCAGTGAACACCCTGGAAAGGGCAGCGCTGTGAGCAGTATGTTAGGAGCTTGGGCTCAGGGGCCATGGGGAGCACATAGGTGCGCCAGATCTAATAGGAGCGGAGGGGCTCCGTGAGTCTGTATTGGGGTTGGGAGTGGGGTCCCTGCGGGGCTCGGTGCATCTGTGTCGGGGCCGGTAGTGGGGTCCCTGAGGGGCTCTGTGTGTCTATCCCAGGGACCGCAGGCACAGCCCCAGAGGCCAAGAGCACAAGCACAAGCTGTGCACACTAGTCACAGGCACTAGTTCCAAATCTGCCTCTGCAGAACAGGCAGGGCTGTGGGAATCGACCCTGCTCTGGGTGGTGGAAAGAGGCTGAAACATCTCGGTGTGGAGAGACAGGGCAGCGGACAGGGCTTTGTGTAGCCCACCTGAGTTCCAATCACCACACGGTCATCTGGCTCCATCCAGGATCACTCCTGAGCTCCAACAGGTGTGGCCCAACACCCCTCCCCCCATTCTCACTACTAGAAAGTAGCAAATTCAAATATTTTACACTTCACTGAAACAGTAAAGTTGGTTGAAGGCCTCAGGGCTTTAAGAGACAAAGCAGAGAGGCATCAAGGGAGCTTGCCACAAATATTATGAGGCAGCCCAGGAGACAGGCACCTCCCTCAGGCTGCTCTGGAGGGTCAGCACTGAATCCTGCCTTGAGGGACAGTTTCCAAGAGACCATGCCTGAAAGGTGAGCTGACACCTCATTAGCCTGGGCCTGGCCAGCAGGGCAGAGAACAGAGAAGGTGGACATGGAGACCCTACAGGCTTCTCCAGCAGCTGAGGCAGGGCATACTCTGTGAAAGCAGAGTCCCACCCGCCTGGGTGTCAGCAGAACTAAGGTAGCAGCCACCCTGGGCAAGAGCCTGAGCCCAGGCTCTGCAGCAGTGCCCGCTGAAGGGCAGTAAGTGTGGGCAGCCATGTGTACAGTGACGGATACCTACCCACACTGGCACAGGGCTGAGAAACCACTGCTGAGCCTGCCGCCCAGCCCGCCTGTGTGTTGCACTCATACTCCACACCTCACACTCCCTCCACTCACCTCCTCTGACTGTGGGGCAGAGCCAGAAAGGCCACGTCTATGGCCAGGTCACAGTCCTAGACAAGGGAGCCAGACCCAGGCGCTGAGTATGCTGCACAGTGGCTGGAGCTCACTGAGGCTGGACGCTCACTCCAGTTGGGCGGAAACCCCGGGAGAAGAATCACAGTGGGTACTCAGTAGAATGCTGTGAAACTCCACCTGGACCCTCGCTGAGTGAGCGTGGAATACGGCACACAGCCAACCTGTTTGATGCTAGGCATACACCACCCATCCAGGTCACCAGGGGTCAGAGAGGTTACTAAAACTGGGAGGGTGCTTGCCCTGCATGCAGCCAACATGAGTCCAATCCCTAGCACCAGCAGGCGTGGCCCCAAAACCAAAAACAAGAGAAAGTCTGAAGCCACGCTGCAGTTAACTGGACAGCAGCTAGCCCTGTCTCCAAGTCCCAGAGTGTAACCCAAGCCCTAGAGATGCGAATGGAAAATGTACGGGACCAATAAGGGTCAGGGCAGAGCCAGAGGGCACAGCAGGAGTGGTGGACTCAATTCCCCAAGGACAATGTGCATGAAACATCTTCTTCTGTTCGATACTCGAGTGAAGACCTCGGTTTCTCCAGATCTGGATTAGGGGGTGAGCACAGCCCTCAAACACTGACCACTCCCCTGAATGCTGCAGAGCCCCACATGAGGTACATGGTTCTCCAGAGCCGGCCAGCACCAAGAGGCACATCCAAAGCACTGCCACTGAGCCCATCACCACTGTCCCCTCACCAGCACCACAACTGTCCCCACCCCTGTCCCCTCCACCAGTCCCACTGCTGTCCCCACTGCCACCGTCCCCCACCAGCACCACCGCTGTCCCTCCGACTTGTCCCGTATTCACCAGCACCTCTGGAGCTGTGACCACCTTCCAGAGGGCCCCCGACGGCCTTACCTGAGAGACCAGGTGCATCCGCTGTGGGCGACGAAGCCCCTCAGCCTCCCTCCAGCCACCAGCACTCACCGTTAGACAGGGCCTGCTGGAGCTCGTTGTCCGAGATGACACCACTCCTGTCCTTGTCCACTCTGCGGGGACAGCACTGCTTAGGTGCATCAACTTCCTTCCCGTCCACGACCCTGGAGGTCGCTTTCCTCGCCCCTCCCTGCCTCTTCCTCTGCAACGGGCGGGCGAGCCCGACCTCTGCGCCCGACCGTGAGTCACCAGCTGCGCTCACTCACTCACCCGAGGGTGAGGGCGAGGGCGGGTTCTGCGGCCACCGGCGCGGCCAAGGGCGCCCCGCCCGCCAGCCGGGACCCTCGGACTCCGCAGGGTGGGGCCGCGGAGGCCGGCTCGGAGGGGTCGGAAGGGCGCGCGGGGCTCACCTCTGGAAGACGTTCCATAGAAAGCTCTGGTCGGGCAGTGCGGCGGCCGCGGGGCCGGCCCCAGGGCCCGGGCGGTACGGGTACGAGGCCATATGCCAGGCGGGCTGGGCTTGCGGCGCGGGCGGGCTGCACCAGCGGGTCCGGGCGGCTCCGCGCGGCTCTGCTTCCGGGGGCGGGGCCTGCCGCGAGCCACTTCCGGGGGCGGGCCCGCCGCGCGCCACTTCCGGGGCCCGGTCTGACCAATGAGCTCGCGGCCCCGTGTCCTCCCCCACCCACCCCGGGCGGCGCAGGCCCGCCCCCGGAAGTGCGTGCCGCGGCCGCGCGGCTCTGTCGGGGGAGGGGGACCCCGCGGCGCGCGTTTCTGTGTCGGTGAGGGGAGGAGGACCCGCGGCCGCCCGTGTCTGTGTCGGGAGGGGAGGGAGGACCCCGTGGCCTGTGTCGCGGAGAGGATCCCTGCGGCCACCCGTGTCTGTCGAAGAGGGGAGACTCCGTGGCCGCGCGTCTGTGTCGGGGAGGGGAGGAGGACCCCGCGGTCTTGCGTGTCTGTGTCGGGAGGGGAGGGGGGACCCCACGGTCTTGCGTGTCTGTGTCAGGAGGGGAGGGGGGACACGCGGCCGCGCAGAGCAGGGCTCTTGTGACTGCGCATGATCCTGATTCTTTCTTTTTTTTTTTATGATATTGAAAGTATCCTGCCCATTCGGCAGAGTCTGGCAAACTTCCCGTGTGGTACTCAATATGCCAAATACCAGTGACAATGATAGGTCTCATTCTCCTAGCCCTGAAAGAGCCTTGAATATGGCTCTTTTAAAATCTCAGGGCTAGGAAGAAGGAGCCGTTACTGGTGCCTGCTTGCCCAACAACAGGATGATCGTGATCGTGATTATGATCCTGATTCTTAACAGGGTCATGGGTGTCTGTGCTTTTCCAGACCCCTGCTTTGGCCCTTAGCTGTCTGCTCACTCGCACCCACTTGCCAGTATCAGTCGCAATAGGGTTCGCCAGAGGGTCACATCCATTTCACCCCGTGTGCATAGATTCAACTCCCCTCATTTCTTTGTATCCTGGGGGTTCACTTCACTGTACCCCCTGATTCACTCTACCCCTAGATCCCCCCATAGCTCACTGTACTCCCAGACTCCCTTGGATTCCCATGTCCCCTCCCCCTCGTGTCCCCATGCCCCCTCCATCTCTTTCCTATGAGTGTCCCTGCACACCCCACCCCCATGCTCTCTTGGCTGGGTCTGGAGTGGGAATTGACACCTTTCAGGTGTGTGTGGAGAAGAGCTAAGGAACTACTCTCTCCCACCACCCCAACCAAGGTTACCTGTCACCTGTGTCAGACCCTCACCCCAGTCTGCTACCCGCTGCCCAAATAGGCACACCAAAAGATAGGCCTGGCACCTTCAGACACCTGCCTCAGTCGCCCACTCCTCAGACCCCCAGCCTCTGGCTCTGAGATGCATGGTTTGCCCTGTGCCTGGTAAGACCCACCTGGGACCCTCTCCTATATGCCACTCTCAAGGAGGCATTGTCCACAGCTCTGCTGCAGGCACAGGAGACAGCCGTGTACTAAGACCCCCAGCATGACTGAGGGATTGGCTCTGCAGCCCCCCTGCGCTGAGATAATCAGCCCGTGTACTGAGATCCCCCTTTGCCAATAGACCAGGACTCTGTCCTTGTTCTGTTGTCTCTGTTGCTTAAAGTATTGATGTGCTGTCCCTATCGCTCAGCCATCAGGATTTAGTTCCCTCCTAATTGGGTTGGAAGCGCACTGGGAGACAGTCCTCCCCACTTTCACGCTCTCTTGTAAGGTCTGTCTTTGCTTTTCCTTATATCTGCTTTCTCTGCACTGGTTTGAAAATGCCAATTGTTACCTTGATGACCTCATGCCAGCACTTTCCACAACCTCCTCCCACGCCTCTGCCAATCTTTGTTAAAGAGATGAGTGGCCACCAGCTCTGTGCCCAGTCGCCTGCCTTTGTATACATGGCCATGTGGCTCACACGTGCATGTGTCCAGCCGCCACACTCTCTGGGAGAGCAGCTGATTGTTCGTTCTCTGGGTCACTGACAGTTGCCCCATGACATTTGCACCTGGAGACCTTCCTTTTTCAGTCACTGCCAAGTGCCTGCTGTGTGGTGTGAGTGGGTGTCTTACACCTGGCTTTCTATTCTCCATGGTGGTGACAGCATCCCCTATGGGATCGCCTGCCCCAGCTAACTAGAGGCAGTGCTGCTGAGTGCTTGCAGTGGATCGAGGGGACAGTGTGAAACTTTAAACTGCATAACTTTGATTAAAAGCAAATAATGATGTTGGTTATTTTACACATTAAAGTAATGTTGGTTATTTAAGTATGAACATTTATTTTTCACATTTTTGTTTGGGGGGGCCACACCTCAAACTCGAGTTGCTTGCTGGCTTCCAGTCACCTCCTATCAAATACCCTCTGGTCACTTTAATGTTCTATCTCAGGGTTAGCTGCTGTGGAATCCAATCTAAGATTTAGACTCATTCACTTCAGATTTTTTTTTTTGTATTTTGCTTTTTGGGTCACACCCTACTCAGGGGACTCCGCGCCAGGCTGTATTCACTCGGGGCACCCCAGAGCGGGGCGGATGAGAGCTCTCCCTGCTTCGAGGGACCAAGGCTTGGCAGCCGACCTCCAATACCCAGCCGCTGAGTGAGGGAATAATGACATGAAAAGGATTTGGAGGAATTCACTGCTGGTGAGAATTATGTCTGGTTCAACCTGGTGGAAACAGTATGGAGAGTTCTCAGTAAATTTAAAATTGAGCTGCTTTGGGATATGTAACCCCCATGAGAGAAAAATATTCATTCAAAAGGTTATAAGCACACCACTATCCATGGCAAGACTCAGCAAAATAGCTAAGATATGTAATCAACCTAGATATTCAACAGCAGATCAGTGGATCACGAAGAGGTATATATAAACGGTGGAATACTACTCAGCGCTAAGAAATGATGAAGTCATGCAATTTGCTACAGCATGAACGAGAACTGGAAAACATCGTGTTAACTGGAGAAAGGGAGAAGAAGGATAAACACAGGATATCACTTATATGTGGTATTTAGAGTAACAGGATGAGGAAATGCAATTTTTTAAAGGAGAGAGGTTTGGACCCTTGGACCCAGAGTATACAGAGGGAAGAAGGAAAGAGAGAGAAGAGATAGATGAGAAGAAATGGGGGCAGAGGTTAAGGGAACTCAGGTACATCAGTGGTATTAAGGAATGATAGAGCTAAATATCCAAACCACAGAGTCAGTATCACTGGAATTCCAAGACTCAAACTTTAATAACAAGATTTTAAAGGTGCTTGTCAAGATGACAAGACAAGTGGGGACTGGGGGACGGATGTGGGAGAGAGAATCCGGAAACACTGGTGGAGGAATTGGTGATGGAACATTGTGCATCAAAAGCCTAACTAGGAATAACTTTGTGATTCACGGTGCTTTAGCACTGCAATGTCCTCCCATTGTTCATCAATTTGCTCGAGTGGACCCAGTAACGTCTCCATTTTGAGACTTGTTGTTCCTGTGTTTGGCATATCGAATACATCACGGGTAGCTTGCCAGGCTTTGCCATGCGGGCGAGACACTCGGTAGCTTGCCGGGCTCTCTGAGAGGGGCGGAGGAATTGAACCCGGCTTGGCCAGGCCGGGCCGGCTGCGTGCAAGGCAAATGCCCTGCCTCTGTGCGATCGCTCCAGCCTCCAAATCCTTTTCATGTCATTATTCTCTCACACTCCAGGCCACTTTCCGGACACACAAGACGCTTCCTACCCATTTTCCATAACTGTTGCACCATATTTGATGGGGTTCAGACATTAGGCAGCAAATCATAGAAATATATATATGTCTATCAGAGAGCCTGGTAAGCTAGCAGGCTACCCGTGGCCGTATTTGATATGCCAAAAACATAAAGATAACAGGTCTCACTCCCCTGATCCTGAAAGAGCCTCCAATTGTAGGGAAAGATGAGTACGAAGAGGCTGCTAAAATCTCAGGCCTGGGAGGAATCGAGACGTTACTGGTGCCCACTCGAGTAAATCCACAAACAACAGGATGACAGTGACAGTGACGCTACTCAGGGGTTACTGCTCCTGGCTCATGCACTCAGGAATTACCCCTGGTGGTGCTCGGTGGACCATATGAGATGCTGGGAATCGAACCCTTGTCCGTGTACAAGGCAAACGCCCTACCTACTGTGCTATCACTCCAGCCCCTTCAAATTTGTTTTCAAGTTGGGGGCTGCAAATATCTATTGGCAAAGGATGTCAGCCCACCTCTGCCCACGCAGTAGAGGCTGGAAGTTGTCCCCTTTTTCTCGGGGCCACACCCAGTGGTGGGGGTGGTGGGGATTGAAGCCAGGGCTCCTTCCTGCAGAAGCACCAGCCCTTTGAGCCACCCCTAGGCTAGTTGCCAGCCCTGCAACTGCTGCATGACCTTTGCTGTGTGACTGCCTGACCCCTGAGGCTCAGCCGTCTAGACTAGCCAGCATCTGGCCCATCTGTGTTGTTTCCTGTCTTACAAATGCTCCAGGACTTACCTGTGTTCTTTTTCTTAGCCAATTTCCTTGGGTCCTCCAAGCGGACTTCCTGGGTCAATGGTAAATATGTGTACTTCAGATGCTGCTGAAGTCCCCTCAGTAGGGCCTACAATGATCTGGAGTCTTAGTGTAATATCTCACAACTTGCACAAAATTCTGGAGTTTACTAATCAGTAAGAAATTATCTTAATATAGTTTTTTAGCATTTCCATTTTGGGCAGTAACTGCGGAAAAAATGGTCATACACTCTATTTATGTAACACATTGAGCTGGTGTGTACCACTGCTGGCTCACACTTGGACATCCCAATGGGGAGACAACAGAAATAATTATTGTTGCCAAAGTCCCTTATAACACTTTAGTTTGGTGCCATCTGTCAAAGCAGAGCACAACTAGTGAAGCCCCCAACGGGGAGAAACATCAAGGGCGGTGCCAGGGTTCCCATGCAGGAGTATGTACTACCACATAGCACCTGGGCTCATACCACAGAATGAAAGATCATACTTTGCATTTCAGATCCACAAAGAACATGTTTGAAGTGTAAGCCCTTAAATGAACTTGGGAATCCGAATAAGGTTGTAGTTTATGTTTTATTGAAGGTGCCTGGTTTTAGCATTACACAAGTACGAAGCAGGTATAGGGATAGAGTGACTTTCCTGCATGCTGATCACTGGCAAGCTCTTGGCCTGGCCACTGGCCGCAAAGCTGGCTGCCCTGGCTCTGGCGGGCACCGGAACACACAGTCGGTGAGGACACATGGTGCAGAGTGGGGCCTGCTTCTGCTTAATAGGAGCGGATAGCGGGTGGCACGGTGGCACAGTCAGCCTCGTCCAAAGTCTTATCAATTACGGGTCTGTATTCCAGCTTGACCTTGAAACAGAGTTGATGGCAAGTTAAAGGAATGCTCCCAGGTCCTTCTGAAAAATCCACTAGGAACTCAAACTGACCACAAACCCACCCACAGACAACAAGGGCCTCCCTGGAACAGTTTTCAGCACTTGAAAATGATCCAAGTGCCTGAGAGGGCACTGGCGCTGTCACTTGAACAGTTGAGTGGCACAGTACAGGGGCCAGGAAGAGGGTGGGGGACAGTATAGGGAGGGGTGGGTAGCAGAGCGACCCACCCCCCAAACTCCCACAATATACCTTCCCTGTTCGTCTGTACACATCATATGTACACTTAGCCCCAAACACACCTTCCCCATCTGTACATGTGCAGACGTGGTCCCATACACACACCTCCCCTGCCTGGGCGCGTGCAGACAACGGCCCCATACATACTTTCATACCTTCATACACACCTTCCCTGTCTATACAAGTGCAGACACAGCCCCATACACACCTTTCCTGTCGGAACATCCACATAAGAAAGCGTGTGCTTCCTCCAGTGCTCTGCAAACGGCTTCTTCTGCTGGCCCTGGATGGGCTTGGAGTAATCATACTCGTCAACCCGCACCTGAGGCCAGAGAAGGCACGCATGATTTAGAAAATGACACAACCATGAAGTTTCTTCTACATCTACTAGAGCAGAACAGCCAGAAAATAGGGCAAACCTGAGAGCATGCCCCACAAAACAAATGAGATGTAAACCTAGGGGCCACACACCAGGTCTCTACAGCCCACAGACTGGCCCGAGAGCCAAATCTGGCTTGTCCGCTGTCCACCAATGGCCCACAGGACACAGCAGCTAGCCCGGGGCCAGTGGATGCCCCACCCTGTGCTCACAGGAGTCGAGCTGTTTTTCTTCCTACTACCCAGTGGGCAATGGCAGAACTTGCCTCAAGTCTGTCAAACATTTTCGCTTTCTCTTACTGATCTGTAATCTAAAAGACATTTTAAAAACCTGGTGATGGAGCTTTTTCAAACAAAGACCAAAAGGGTGTAGGAAAGCTGGGACTGGGCAGGACCCAGCCTGGAGTAGCTTCTGATTTTCAGCAAGTGCTTTCAGCTGAGTCAGGGCAAACTAAGCCACCCCATTCTGCCTCGGAAGACAGAGAGCAGCGAGCCCATCATGTCACTCCCCTTGAGCACAGGCTCTGCCTCCTCAGCAGCCCAGCGAGAGCAAGCCACTTCCGTACGTCTCACCCTGGTGAGCTGAGGAATGGGCAGGAGAGAAATACAGGTGCGGGGCCAGGGCAAGGAGGCAGGGACAAGGGGCAAAAGTAGGAGGGGAAAAAGACTTCTGTCCACAACTGGGAGAGGGAGCTGGAGAGCCAAGTGCAGCCTACAACCCTGTGGAAAGGGCCCAGGACAGTCTGCGCACCTTGTAATCCTCCCGGGCATGAGCCCCACGTGACTCCTTGCGGGCCTCTGCACCATAAATGGTCTGCAGCGCACACAGCATCAGGTTCTGCAGCTCCAGCGTCTCCACCAGGTCGGTGTTCCATACCATCCCTGCAGCACAGGAGGGGGAAGGTAGGTGTGACAGAGCTCCAGCCTCAGCCCTGGGGGTGGGTGTGTGGGGAGGCAGGGGAGTGGCCGCACCTCTGTCGAAGGTCTTCAGGTGCTTCAGGTCCCCGTAGAGTTGGCTGATTTTCTCACAGCCCTCCTGCAGCACGCTGCCCACTCGGAACACGGCGGCATGGTTCTGCATCGACTGCAGAGGTGCACAGATGAGGCTGGGGAACTTGCCAAGCTCGTTCCCCAGCCCACCCCTGGTGACTCTTTAAGCCCCATGGGACAAGGTGAGAAGCTGTCAAAGCTGGGTCAGAGAGAGGCGGGGAAGGCGTTCGCCTTGAACGTGTGTGCTCCTAATCAGAGCCTTGGCATCATGTAAGGTCTCCTGAGCACCGAGCTGGGAGCAATCACAAACTGTGAAGCCTCCAGATTTTCCTTCTGACTTCTATCAAATACTTGTATATATTAAACAGGTAGACTGTGCAGCTCTGTGACTAAACCCCCAATCCAGGACAATAACCTCATTCCTCTGATCAGTACAATCAGGTGCTGGCTAATGGGTCCACTCCAGGGGTCCATATAGCAGGTGTCTCAGACTCAAGCACACCATGTCAGAGGAACAACTGCAACCCAGGCACCACTGGGGCATATCACCCCAACCAGAATCTGGGCCGGACTTAAGGTGGCAGAAGGGCAAAGGTGCTGCCAGGTTCTACCAGAGCCTTCTTGTCCACTCACAAGCTGGGGTGGAACCATGGCAGTCTGCAGGGGAGCAAGGATGGAGGGTCGGAGGCCTGCAGCCTCAGCACTTGCTCCGCTGGTCACTCGGCCCCCACTTTCTTAAGTATGTTCACATCGTCACAGTCTGTCTATACTTCTCAGAAACGTGCTACGGAGTCAACCTAAGTTCCGTTTAGGTGCTGAAGAAACATTTTTCCTGTCTTACAAAATGAGTGTTCCGAAGACACACGTGAAAAGGGACGACTGGTGTGTGCTGATCTCTCAGCACTGGGCCTGGCCTTCCATCTGCCCACTTCCCATGGCCCTCCCCAAGTCAGTGCACACAGCTCTGCTGTCTCGGGTCGGAGGGCTGGTGCCTCTGGCACCTGTTAATGGTTCCCTCCCGTTCAGAGAGGAAAGCAAAGGACACATCTCACAACATCTTCTGAGTGGACGGAAATCACATCTGCGAACTCACAATCCCTCTATTTCACAAGCTCAATTCCTACTTGTTTTACATACTGCCTGATTAGTCTAAATATGTGGCACCCATTTTTCTGGGGTCATACTCAGCAATGCTCAGAGGTTACTCCCGGCGTTGCTCAGGGGACCATATGGGATGCGGGGGAGTGAACCCCGGTCGGTGTGGCAAGGCAAACACCTTTCCTGCTATACTGTAACTCCCGCTTCACCGACTCTCTAGTAACACTAAATGTGAAACCCTCTCAGCTCTAAGTAGACTACAGACCGAACATGATGGCCACTCAATACCTATATTGCCCAAAAGGAGAGAGAGCAAAAGGGAATGCCCGGCTACAGAGGCGGGGTGGGATGGGGGGGACAGGGTGGGGGTGGTGGGAGGGATACTGGGATCATTGGTGGTGGAGAATGGACTCTGGTGGAGGGGTGCGTACTCCATCATTGTATGACTGAAACATAAGCATGAAACTTTGTAAGTCTGTAACTGTACCTCACTGTGATTCATTTAAAAATTTAAAAAATTTGAAAAATTAAAATTAAAAAAAAAAAAACCCTCTCAGCTCCGCACATAGGCCACGCTCCCCATGCTCAAGCTCATGTGGCCCGAGGATGAAGTATCTCCATGGCCAACGTGCCACCGGAATGCCCAGCTCCGGCTTCCATCCACTAACCACACGCCTGCTCCCTGCCTGCATTCAAAGGGAATGATGGGCCCAGGTTCAGGGCAATCCCAGAGCTGCTGGAAGCTGGTGTGGTAATGGAATGGATTCCCAGGCAATGTGCTGGCCCTCAGCATATGTGCTAAATGATGCTCTAGCAGAGGTCAAGCATCTCAGCCCTTGCCCTGTTCCCCTTCAGGCCACGGTGCACATGAGTCGGTCTAAGGAGCCACACCAAGACCCCAGGAGAACACGAGATGTCCCTGGTGCTACGGAGCTGCTAGTTCTGCTCTGGGCTATACAACTCCAGAGTTCGGGGGGGCGGGGGGGGGGGGGTGAGAAATACGAACCAGGACCTTCATCTACTCACTCCTAGTCTCCTTTAGAGCAGAACCACAAGGATGGGCCCAAGCGGGGCCCAAGCAGGGCGTGGGTAGCCCAGGTACAGAGGCCAGGTGCAGGGCCCAGGTGCAGAGAACAGGTGCAGGGCCCAGGTGAAGAGTCCACATATACAGTGCTCTAGCTCTTACCTTCTGCATATTGAGCCTCAGTTCTGACGTTCTTATGCTTCCATCTGCAAACCTCAACTTATCAAGATTCATCACAGATTCTTCCCCAGCATTTGGTTTTATTGAGGGAACTTTATCTCCTTTAAAAACAAAACAAGGTGGGACAGAAGCTCAGAAGGACACACTGTGTCATGACCTTTCCTAATCTAAGCTGAGGAAGCAGTACTTAGCATGGGGCCAAAGAATCAACCAAGGCACAAGACTAGCAAAAAAAGTCCAGAAAGAAATCTCTCAAGTGGTGCCAGGGAGAGGGGCCAAAGGACCTGAGTGGGGCTTTGCACGCAGGAGTCCCAGATTTGAACCCTAGTACCTAATCCCAAGCCCCACTGGCAGTAGCCCCCAAACTACTGAAAATGAAAGATATAACCACCAGTTGAGGTTTTTGCTGGGGAAAAGGAAGGGGGGAAGAGACTGGAGCAATAGCACAGTGGGTTGGGTGTTTGCCTTGCATGTGGCCGACCTGGGTTTGATGTTCAGCATCCCATATGTTCCCCCTGAGCACTGCCAGGAGTAATTCCTGAGTGCAAAGCCTGGAGTAACCCCTGAGTATCACCGGGTGTGACCCGCCCCCCCAAAAAAGAGAGGGTGGGAGGGTGTGGAGGGGTGGTTGGACATATGGAGCAGTTCTCAGGAGCTATTCCTGGCTCTGTACTCAGGAATGACCCCTACTCGTGCTTGGGGGTTCAAATGTAGTGCCAGAAATTGGATAAGGGTCAGCTGCTTTTTTTTTTTCTTTCTGTTTCTGGGCCACATCCAGCAATGCTCAGGGGTTACTCCTGGCTCTGCACTCAGGGATCACTCCTGGTGCTTCCTGGAGGACCATATGGGATGCTGAGGACTAACCCTGGGTCAGCTACATGCAAGGCAGAGGCCCTACCTGCTATACTTTTCCTCTGGCCCCGGCTAAGCCACGTTGCAAAGCAAGTATCTTATCTGCTGTACAATCTCTCTTGTCTGTCAACTACCAGTCTAGACCAATTCTATGATTTTATAATCACAGAATACATGTGCCTGGGACAGTCACATCTCCTTTGTTTTTTTTGCATTAAATCTTCCCCCTCTCCTTTAAGTTTTGAGAAAGGTCCGAATATTTTCTTCTACAAGTACCAAGAATTCATTTATAACTGTTTAAACTAATATTGCACCTCAAATAACTATTACAAAACCAGAGCACTAGTATATGATAACTGGTATGTAATAATTCCCCTCAAGATAACAATTTCCTGGTGCTTGGCTGAGCAGTAGAGCTCATGCATCATATACATGTGGCCCTGGGCTCACTCCCAGACACCAAAAAATGAAAAGCAGAAACGCATAAAAATGACCAAATTCCTAGCTAATCTGAAGTGATTCCTCCAAAGAACATGGTTGCGAACCCCACTTGGTGGAAAATTTCCTCTGAATTGTTCAGGCCAATATAGCTGTCAGAGCTATGGGACACCCTGTTTAGGGCTGCACCAGCTACCACCGAGTGCATTTTCTTATACATGAGACCCGGTGGCCTCTGCCCCCTCAAATAGCCTGGTAGCACGTACCAGGTTTGCAGGACTCGGCGATACTCAGGGCACACGCCCGGCCAAAGACCACCAGGTCCAAGAGTGAGTTTGCCCCCAGACGGTTGGCACCATGCACCGAGGCACAGGCGGCTTCCCCGCAGGCATACAGCCCAGGCACAACCTGATCCTGACCATTCACGTGCTTCAGCACCTATGGGAGAGAAGAGCAGACATGGTATAGGAGATCAGTCTGCACGGACCATCTTCCCCACAGACCAGTGAGCAGGCTGGGAAGGACGAGAGCAACTCTGACTTCTCCCATCTGATGTGCATCAGAAACCTCACATGCCACCTACAAGCCAACCCTGATCCCATGCATTCCAGAGGCAATGAAGGGAGCAGGGTGGGAGACCGCAACTCTGGGAGGCATACGCGGAGCATCAATCCATACTTCTAGCTCCTCATCACGTGCACGAACACGATTCCCGCCTCCTCATGTACACAGGCACGATTCCTCTCCCTCATGTACATGGGCACAGTTCCCAACCTCATGTACTTAAGTATAGTTCCTTGCCTGTGTACATGAGTACATTTCCTACAACTTGTATGCCAGGATGCATTTTTGTCACTCATGTACATGGGTACAATTCTTACCCGTCATCCACATAAGATGAATTCCTACCATTCATCTACACAGCTGGTTTGATTCTGACTCCCCACCCCTTTTCAGAGAGTAAAAGTCATGCAAGCTTGCAGTGGCAGTCACTGTAATAAATACTCATTAGACAGGGTCAGTGTGAAAATGAATGAAGGTCATCATAAACTGAAAACACTGCTTATGAAATATTTTCACAGGAGGAATTAAAACTGGTTTTGGAAGGCATGGTAAGACCCTCACTCCTGCTGTGGTACATCAAAAGCAGCCAATACTCTTTAATGGAACGGCAAAGAGCCACGTGTGGCCCTGGGATCCATTGTGCACGTGGCCTGCTGCAGGCCTCCACACTCACCTGTCCCTTATAGTTCGTGGGAATGCCACCCATGTTGTAGTGCACTGTGGGCAGGACAGGGATTGGCTCCTTCGTGACGTCAACGCCAGCAAAGATCATGGCTGTCTCCGAGATGCCAGGCAAGCGCACGGCCAGCTGCTCGGGGGGTAGATGGTGCAGCTGCAGGTAGACATGGTCCTTCTCAGGCCCGCAGCCCCTGTGGAGAGCACCGAGGGCAGAGGATGAGAGCATGGCTCACTGGAGCCAAAGTGCCAGACTCAGAGACGGGAGAAAATGTCCCCTTCCCAGATCCCCATTCACGCCTGCCTTTCTTACATCCTGACCACAATCACAGGAGACCCAGTTTTGGGGCACGGCCGTGAACAACTCGACAGAACCTGTCCTCCTGGCTAGTGTTTTATCTTGTCCAATGCATTAAAAGCCCTCTTTGTTCTAAATATGCCAATGAACTATGCGACTTCCAAAGTTGGAGTACAGACGCTCTGGACTAGAGACTAGAAATAGGGCACCTGCCTCACAAACAGCCAAACTCAGATCGATCATAGGCGCCACATATGGTCCCACGTATGGTGTGCACCAGGAGTGATCCCTGAGTACTGCCGGGTGTGGTTGCTCCCTGCCAGAAGGAAAAAGTAGTAGTACAGAAGTACTAGAAGTTAAGCAGCGGAATCTGAGTACTCCCCAGTGATTGCCACAGCAGAGCCCTACACGCCCTCTACGTGTTAACCATGCAAACATCTCAGATGCGTGTGCCAACCGCCTGCACAAAGGAGAGGGTGTGTGCTGCTCTCCAAGTGCCACGTGCTCACAGGTTATATTCCACAGACTCAAGATACATTTAATCCATTGGCCAGAGTCCTCAAGCTCTAGGTCTTCGGATGTACTGAAGAGGGCAGCCCCTGAGGTGGAGGGAGGAACTGACTGCTGCTAGGACACCAGACGACAACAGCCACACGGGAAGGAGGCTCTGCCTGCATGCACTCAGGGTCTTTACAGAATCACACCCACCTTCCTTCTCGGATTTCCAGAGTCATGGACCGAGACACAACATCTCTGGATGCCAGGTCCTTTGCAACAGGCGCGTATCTCTCCATGAACCTCTCTCCTTGACTGTTGATGAGGATACCCCCTTCTCCGCGGCACCCTTCCGTAATGAGGCATCCAGCACCATAAATGCCTGCAGAGAACCCAGTAAGTTTTAAAGCTGACAACCTCCATGTCTATATGTCAAATACAAATCATTTTCCAGGGGAGAGGAGAAGAGAATACAAAAAGATTCATACTCTCAACAGAACAAATATTTTTAAGGAAGTTTTGGCCAACTGTAAGGAACAGGCAGAATCGACTGAGTACAGCAGAAGGATGGAGTCAAGGCCTCACACACAAGATGTGCTCTCAGCTAGATCTCTGGTCTGCTAATGCTGGTTGGTTTGGAGGCCACACCTGTCAGTTTTCTACTCCTGGTGGTGGTCAAGGACCACATGGCGACCAGCACTGAAACCAGGACTTCAAAATTCAAGGCAATGTGCTTCGGCTCTCGCCCTATTCCTCCAGCTCCTGAACATAAGACCTCAACAGAACTATATGAGAGACAGTTCAGGGTCTATTGCTGGATGTTTCAATGCTCCATACGATGGTGGTGCCCAGGGAAGAAAACCCAGCTTGGGAAGTTGCTACCTGAAGTGACCAAATGTCAGCACAGGCCAGGCTTTTCAAAGGAATACTTAGGTGGTCCTTGTATTCATAATTAAGCTGTCTTTTGGGGGGTGATGAATGGAGGGGTGTCTGAGCCATACCCAGCAGTACCCAGGGCTTACTCCTAGTCTGTGCTCAGGGGACCACATGTAGTGGCAGGGATCAGACCCAGGTTGGCCACAAGCAAAGCAGCACCCTACTGGCTGTACTACCACTCTGGCCCCATAATCACGTTTTGTAACAATCGCTTATTATTCTCATTTTCAAAGACAGCAACCTCAGAGACAAAGTGAAGGCCTGGAAACTTGACCTGTCGGATGACCCATAGCAGAAGAGAAGAAGCCCAACTCCAAGCCTGCCAATACAGCTGGGGCTGCACCCTGATTCTCAATGTTGTCCACTAATGTGACAAAAAACCAGGATGCCAAGCGCCTCCATGTTCTTAATCAGGTGACAAATGCAGTATCAATGTAACTTAAAAACACTTTCATCATTACTCCAAAGGACCATCTTAATTTTAGAACAAGGATGCAAATTCTTGTATTTCCACTACCTTTCATTTTTCCAAGTTTTAGTGGAACTTACTCTAGTGGCTTACCACTTATGTGCGAAAAAAGCACAAGATATGGAACTGTAAGTTGCAGGAGGAAATTCATGAGACCCAATCTATCTTTCCCTAAAAGTTAGTAGCAGAGCTGGAGAGAGCGCGAAGCAGGCTACATTCTGTGTTTTGACCCTGGTCTTGATCCCTGGCACCACACAGTTCCCCTGAACACCACTAGTCGTGACCCCAAACAAACCAGGTAGTGATATAGGTCAAGGAGAAAGCTCAAAGGTAATGCACAAGCTCTCATGCAGAAGGCTGGGACCAGTCCCCAACACCGCAGAGCCAGCACCTGAGCCAGGCCTCCACACAGAGCTAGGCGTAGCCCGAGCACCTCCGGCATGACGTATTCAAAGCACAAACGTGTCAAGTGCTGACTGCCACTGCAGATGCAGTCCCTGGGCTATAGGTCAGAAAGTGACTAAGGGTGTGATCTGTCCCAAGATGCTTTTCATGTCTGCTTTTCATCCCTAAACTCCAGTGCTGAGCTACCATTTCTGCACTAATGACTCTTTGCCTTGCAGTGTCTGCCCCTTCAGCCCTCCCATCTGAACCCCACCTTTGTACATTGACCCCCCCTCCCCAGTGTGGGGGAGACCTGCCTGCCACAGATGTGTCCTTCCCACATACCTGGTTTCATGCCCACCTGGTACTGGAGCTGATCAGATGTAGCCCTCCGCTCAGGACGACATGTGTGTCCCTGTGCCCATCCCATCCCTGTGTTCACCCCCACCCCTACCCAAGGTCCTATTACTACCGGCCCATGAGCACATCAGTGCAAGCCACAAGCCTAGCAGGTTTGGGGAGTTGACAAGCTCATAGGGAACTGAACTGGACACCTGTTTCTGAACCAGAGTGGACAGTGAACTAAACCAGCTCAGGGAAACAGGGGTCAAGGAGAAAAAGAAAACCCTGGATCCAGGCCAGGGCTGCCTCAACTGGGGTACCTGTGAGCCCGTCCTACCTGTGGGGTGGAACTGGACAAACTCCAGGTCCTGGCAGGGGAGGCCGGCCCTGGTGATCATGGCAGTGCCGTCCCCGGTGCTGGTGTGCGCAGATGTGCAGCTGAAGTAGGTGCGGCCATAGCCTCTGGAGAACAGGCAACAGAGTGGTAGGTGAGCGCATGGACCATGCCCTCAGGGGACGTGCTGGCGGCAGAGCCCAGGACAGGGGTCTCCTTCACGAACAAGCACTCTGAGCACTCTGTGACAACATCACAGCTACTTCATAACGAAACCTTAGCTACGTTTCTGGATCCTTCCCCCTCCCTTTTGTCGTGTATGGGCCGCACCCAGAGGTGCTCAGGTGTTCCTGGTGGAGCTAGGGTACTCTGTGTGGTCCCGGTGTTTGAACCTAGGTCAGCTGTGTGCAAGGCAAGAGCCCTGCCTGCTGTATCATCTCTCCACCCTTGAAATTCCCTTTTTTAATCTTAACTCCAGTGGGTAGAACAGAGCTCACATGCTCCAACTGTCCCCAAGAAAGCAAGGGACAGAAGAGTATCTGCTGCCCAGAAGATACCACTTGACTCCAGCCCCACCAGCTGCACACCAAGTGACACTGTAGCCATTACCAGGGGTGCTCTGTCCCCATCACACATACAAGACAAGCAGCTACTTTACTGCCTGCACTGGGTTACAACAGAGTCAGTCCAGAGAGAGAGCACAGCGGAGAGGGTGCCTGCCTTGCACACAGCCTATATGGCTTTGATCCCCAGCGTCCTATATGGTTCCCTGAGCCCCATCAGGAGTGATACATGAACTCAGAGCCAGGAGTAAGCCCTGAGCATCGCTGGGAGCAGCACAAAAACAAAGAGCAGCCTGTACCTGAACCTTGAGTCTACAGCACCTGCTTCCACAGAATGAACCCTGTAACTTCGCTTCCCCACAGAGCTGGAACTTAGCAACAAGCAGGTCCCTACCCAGTAGCCACAACAGTGTTCTTGGCTCGGATGCGATGGATTGTTCCGTCTTCTATGCACAAGGCAATGACACCACGACACTCCCCATTTTCCATCAGCAGATCCAAGGCAAAGTATTCCACGAAATAGCTAGTATCATAGCGCAGAGACTGGAAAACAGGAGAGACGAAATCCTGATCTGATGGCCAACAGTGCCACACCCATGTCCGGCTAACACTGCTGAGCAGTCAGACTTGGCCTGGGTGTGCATCCTGCAGGGTAGATGTGGTTGGGATAGTGCCAGGTGGAAAAGGGTGCACATTCACTTGCCCAGACAACAGTAACGGGACAATCTCACATCTACATGCCAGACAAAAGCAGCCACAGGATGGAAGCACATCTCCCGAGGCAGCCTAGGCACTCTGTTCCATGGGCTTCTGCCAGATACGGGGGCCAGCCTCACACTGAGCTGCTGGCTGCACATGGCCCAGAGCACATCAGCCAGGTCGTGGTCACGGGCCATGGGTGGGGGCTAGACTGGAGAGCACCACGTGACCCGCAGCAGAGCAATCGCCACTAAAAGCTCCACACATGCCTGGACCGCACAGTCCCTTTGGCTAACAGAAGGCTCCTGGCAAATGCCATCTCCCACGGGACAGTTCATGGCAGAGGCAGGATTGCCACACGCCTGTCATGCCAGAGAAGCCACCGGTGTTGTGATCTTTGTAAAAAAAAAGCTGTGTCTCTGCTTATCTGAAAGCCAGAGTTCAGAACTGAGACACTCTGATCCGTGAACACTCAGAACAAATGACGGGCACTCAGCACTGAAGCACATCAGTCAGCTCAGAAACGCACACACTGGGCACGCATGGCTTGTGGGTAACTGCGTGTGTGCGCACACGTGCCAGGTGATGGTCACCGCGTTCCCAGGCAGAAGCTTGCGCCCCAGTCACTAACACCTTGATGTCCTGCAGCTGAGTGGCTCTGGGCTGGCCTCACTGCTCTGCCTACCTCCCCACTCATGAGGGGCCCCTCCTCAGGCACTACATGGCCTCACCCGTCCATACAACGTGTGCAGCAGTGAGTGGCCAGTCCGGTCAGCCACACAGCAGCACCTATGGGCCTGTCCACCTTTTCCGAACTTCAGGCTCTGGCCCCCGAAGGCGCGCTGGTAGATCCTCCCATCCTCGGTCCTGCTGAAGGGCATGCCATAGTTCTCCAGCTGTGAGGCAGAGAGACATGCGTACTTACAGTGCATTCTCCACTTCCAAGCCCAGCCCTGGGGACCCCACAAAAGGACCCTCGCTGGCACAGCTCCCAGACAGAGCCACAGGGACATTACCTCCACCACCGAGGCAGGCGCCTGCTCCGTCATGTAGTGGATGGCGTCCTGGTCTCCCAGCCAGTCGGAGCCCTTCACTGTGTCGTAGAAGTGCCACCTCCAGTTGTCCTCCTCCATGTTCCCCAGAGCAGCGTTGATCCCACCCTGCACACACCACAGCCCCATCAGGCTCCCAGGAGATCTGTCTCAGAACTAGGGTCTTGGTGGCCAGTGCCTGAGGAGGCTGCTGAAGGCCAATCACAGGCCCTCATGCTGTGGGCCATAAGATCCCTGTTTCTGCCTCTGAGGAAACTGTGTCCCAAACAGCAGATGGGCTATACATGGCATCACACACCAGTGAAGCAACTATCCAGAGCCTGAGAATTGGGCCAGGAGAACTTCCCAGGGCCTGAGAACCAGGTCACAGAACTTCCCAGGACCTGAGAACCAGACCATGGGAGAACTTCCCAGAGCTTAAGAACTGGGTCACGGAAGAATTTCCCAGAGCCTGAGAACCGGGTGATGGTAGAATTTCCAGGGCTTGAGAACCAGGACCCAGAACTTCCCAGAGCCTGAGAACTGGGCCACGGGAGAACTTCCCAGGGCCTGAGAATTGGATCTCAGATATCAGCACACTCCCCTCCCTTTCTTTCTCCCCTGAGGTGACAATTTCTGTCCTGTAAGATCAAGGTTATCACCCCCAAGGTTGGCCCTGCACAGGCAAGGCCCTGGGAAAGAGAGAGCAGAAAAAGCGAGAGTAACAACGGTCAGAAAACTCATCCAAGGACACAACTCCTCTCAGACTGGGATCAGGGCGTCAGAGAAGACCAATTTAACAGGAGCAGAAATGAGTAACAACAAGCTCCAGGCGGCAGACGGGCTGGGATTGAGGGAAGGTGTGCACCGAGATCTGCAAAGTCCAGAAGTGTCGCATCCCCTTCTTACCTGGGCGGCAACAGTGTGGGACCGGGTGGGAAAGAGTTTTGTGACGCAGGCAGTGTTGAAACCAGCCTCAGAAAGGCCGAATGCAGCTCGCAGGCCTGCCCCTCCAGCACCGACCACCACTGCATCGAACTCATGGTCTACCACGGGATACTGTGCAGAAATCTGTGAGACAGAAACCCAGTTATCCACCAAGCCCACCGGACAGGAGGGGCCCCCAGGTATACTAGGGGGTGGGGGCCACATAGTAAACACTGCACCAGACTCCCACCATGTGCTGAGATGCTCCTCTGGGCACAACAGAGGACATGGGGACGCCAGAAGCTGCCCTACTCTGAGTGACACTCTCTGTGATGGTACCTGCTTCCCCTGGCCAACAGCACCTCCACCCACCTGGGAGCACCCGAGAACCACAGCCTGGACCCTTCAGCTGCTGCACAGACAGGAAGTAGGTGCACTCAGCACAGAAGGGCCCATGGTCACTTCCCAAGGCCCCTAGGGAAGCCCATGGTTTCCCAGGCTGCTGGTGGAGACAATGTCTATTCCTCAGGAAGTCCACAGATACCGCAGGCTACTGGTGCTCCGCGTGACACTGACCAGGGCCACAGATACATCACTGCTGAAGCAAACAGGGTTGATACCTACTCCTACTTGCATTAGGATAACTAGAGATCTGAACATACACTGGGCAAGGATTTCTTCCGTTAAACAATAACAGCACATACTAGTACATCTACATCAATACTAGTACGACAGCACATCTATTTGTGCACCATTATATCAAAATCCAATATTGCTTGTTGCTTCCGCCCCCCAGCAGGGAAGTGTAAGAGGGAAAAGAAACGAGGTACTCACAGAATCTGAAACTTTAGCTGATGACCTCTTAGTCCCATTGACAGTGAAGTGGAACCCACGGGAGCCTGTGTGTGACGTGGCCGGACACTGCTGAGACACAAAGAGAGCCTGAGTGTGCTGGGCGGGATCAGAGCTCCCTCAGAAGCCCCTCTCATGTTGTCCCCTGGAGGGCAGGGGCTATGCACGCTAGGGGAAGCTCTTGCAGCTCAGAGGACACTCACCCACTCAAACACAAAAAGGGGAAGTTTTTCAATTTTTCTTTCCCCTTGAGGCTCCCTGGGCAGTGGGACTGTTGGGACTGTCCACCGGCCAATCACCACCCAGTGTGTGTTCCTCAGCAGACAGGGAGGAAGGAAAGCTGCAGAGGCAGCGGATGCATGCTGGGAGAGCAGTACCACCACTCAAGAACAGTCATCTTAGTCCCATCTTCTTCAAGCTCAGGGCTGGGAGCCAGAGCGGGACTTCACGCACACAAAGGCAAAGCATGTACTTTACAGACTGAAATCCCCAAACACATATGCTAGAGAGACATGTATCTGCTCCTGTGTGTCTGAGAATACGGAATGAACTTAGAGCCAAATCTGACAGGACTTCCCTAAGGGAAGAAAGGACTTGGGAGGGGCAAAAATCCAAGGGCTGACCCCAGTAAGTACCTCATGGTCCCCCAGCATAGCTGCTGGGAAAAGTTCCCAAGTACCACCAGTGGGGTGTGACCCAGAACCAAACCAAAACTGCTGAAAGTTGAGCAGGTGCTCTATGCCCCAAGACCAAATGCAAGCCACAGGACATTTAAAACCTCCACATCAACACAGTTTCCTGGCTTTCTAAGTAGATCTGAACTGGTTAGAATGGTATTCTTTTTCTTTCCTTTTTCTTTTTAAATTAAACAACTGTGATTTAGGAAGTTTTTGGTAGTTAAGTTTTAGGCATACAATATTTCAACACCAATCCTACCACCAGTGTCAACTTCCCTCACCAGTGTTCCCAGGTTCCCTCCACACCCACAACCCCGTCCCATCCCTGCCTGTCAACTGGATAGGTACCTTACAAAATTCCAGTGGTTGCAGCTATAGAGGTATTCTTGAGTTCTCTGGTTTCAATTTTAAGTAATTTGTTTTATTGGCAAGATAATTTCATTTTTTCCCAGAAAATTAAAATAAAAGAAATACTCATTACTTTATTGTTCAGCTATATTTTTAAATGATAATCAAACCTTGCCAAAGATAGTCATTACAAAATCGATAATGTTCTTGAAATGTTAAAGTACATTTTGTTATATCAATTTAAAATTAAAATAGAAAACAATGAGATTCCCTTGGTATTTATTCTTTCTAGAATGTTCATACACATAAAGAAACAGACACAAGTGGCACTTACGTAATGAAATCTTGAGCAAATCATTGTATAATCACTCCATGGACATCAGGAACACAAATCTTTGTGTTCTGATTTGGCAGAGATTTGGGGGGGGGGGAGCATACCCAGCAGTGCTCAGTGCTCAGGGATTACCCTGGTGGGCTCCGGGGACCATATGTGGAGCCAGGGATCAAATCCAGGTCGGCTGGGTGCAAGGCAAGCACCTTACCCGGTGCAGTATGGCTCTAGCCATTGGGTGGAGATCTTAGAATCTGGAGTCTCCAATTTTAATCCAGACTGTCTTTAGGTAAGACTAATGTTTTTTTATCAATTACTTATCAAATGTGCTCTGAAAAGAAGCCGTCAAACTTTCTCTAGTGGGGCAAGCTGAGAAATGGGCAAAACCGAACTGCAGGAACCCATGGGCCTTAGAGGGAGAGAAAGGCCAGCGTTCTTCACTGGCACGGTGGGGCTCCCTCACCTCAGGCCACACCCGGGACACAGGGGCAAGGAACAACAGATCAGCATGACCCAATGTAAGCAGCAAGTAAAGGATCTGGAAGAGGTTCCCTAACTACTGGGAGGGCGGGGAAGGAGGGGTGTCAGAAGGGTGAGGTCAACTCAGTAATGTCCAAAGGGGATGAAACGCACGTGCAGATTCACAGGAGAAGGGGGAAAGGCTGCACAGGGCCCAGCACCAACCCAGTCGGAGCTCATCTGTGGAGGTGCATGCAGCCTTAGCTCTGCACACACTTTCTGGGATCATTAATTTCTATTACCTGTATAATTAATTTCGTTAAAACTTGAAGCCTCTGAACCTAGAGCTCACAAAGTTGCCTGGCCACGTGACCTCTGGCCTGGAGCGGTACGGAGAAGTTCTGCACGTTTCTTCACAAAACTCTCATGAACTGAGTCTATCCCAGCAGAAGGGATCTGCACCTGGGTCTGCCCCCTGGACTCCTGGCAATGCCAGATTAAACCAAGCCAAGTCACAATTTTTCAAATGAACTAATGAAACCATCACATAGAACGGAACTGAATGCCAATGGTGGTATACTATTTCAAGGGGCTGGAGAGAGAGAATAGAGGCTAAGGCACTCGTCTTGCTCACAGCCAACCCTGGTCTAATCCCCAGCACTGCAAACAGTTCTCTGAGCAACAGGAGTAGTCCCTGAGCACAGAGCCAGGAGGAAGCCCAGAGCACTGCCAGGTGTGGCCAAACCCTGCCCAATAATCACAAGAATCAAAACAAATACAATGGCCTAACTCTTGCAATTCTAATCAACTGTCAAAAAGCACATTTAAAGTACATCCAAAGAAATAGACTTTATTAGACCACTGCTTTGCATACACCTGCTAAGGCTCTGAGGAAGAGGGCAGCCCGTGAGAATTTCAGACCCTTGGTCGGGTCCATCAAACTACAGATACACAGGGGCAAAGGTAGCATGGGTGGGATATGCTGTCACTCAAGAGCAAAGGAAAATACAAAGTGACTTGCAAACCGATAGCTTGCCAACCTTTGCCAAGCGTGCGGGTGAGATACTCTTGGTAGCTTGCTGGGCTCTCCCAGAGGGGCAGAGGAATCCAACCTGGATCAGCCGGGCCGGTTGTGTGCAAGGCAAACGCCCTACCGCTGTGGAGGGATAGCAAGCTACCCTTGACGTATTCAATATGCCAAACACAGTAATAAGTCTCAAAATGGAGACGTTACTGGGCCCGCTGGAGCAAATCGATGAACAACGGGAGGACTGTGTTTTTTGTTTTTGTTGTTGTTTGACTTGCAAACATCAGAGAAGAAGAAAACATCCTCCTCACTAAACACCCCCAAGTTTTTTTCTTTCTGTTCTGCTGACGTTGCCCGCTTACAATTTCCAATTTGGGAGGTGCCCTCAGTTGCCCACCTGCTCCTCCCAAGGTGACCAGAGCCACTCCTGGTTCTCACGGGTGCAGCTCACACCCCCTTCTAGGGAGGCCGGCGCTGTGGCATACGCAGAACTGTGCAAACCCGGGACGCCCACGGGGAAGTCCCGTGAACAACTGGCCCCTTAGTTCACACCGGGGTTTTGGGACAGCTTTATGCCACAGGGAGCAGATCAAATACCCATGGGAAAACCATCACCAAGACAACACTTTTAAGGGTCTTTCTTGCTGGTCACGTTTGCCAGGACAGAGAATACAAAGCCAACAGCTGGTCCACGCAGGACCGGGCGCGCTGCCCCGGCTGCTGGGCCGGTGGTCGGTTCTGGTGGGCTCCCGGGCGAGCGGGCCGGGCCGGTGGCACCAGGCTTCCGCACCGCGCTACACTCCTTGCAGGAAGAGGCTCGGCCCGGACGAGGAGCAGCGTTCCCGGGCAGCGGCCAACGGTCAGCACAGCTGCCAGTCCGCTCGAGGCTCTGGCGGAAAAGCGGCCGGAGCGCGCACGGAGTCCCGAGCACTGACCGCGCAGGCCGTTGCCCGCTCCCGGGCCTTGCGCGGGGAGCACCAGGCGGGAAGTACCGGGCGGGGAGCAGCGGGCACGGGCCCCGCAGGCCGGTCGCTGCCCCGCCCGCGCCGACCTTGGCGGCCGCATCCTCCGAAGTCACCGCCGCCGCGCGTCCGTGACCTTCATCGGGCGGCTGAGGCCGAGCCCGGTGTCCCCCCGGCCCCGCCCTCGCGACCCAGCCCGAGGCCCTCGTCCGCCCCGTTATGTCCGCAGGCACCGTGCGGCCGCCGCCGCCTCCGCGGACTCCGAGCACCGCCTGCCCGGCAGCCCGGCCGCCGCGCCCACTCACCAGGCCAATCAGCACCTGGCGCCGCTGGCGCAGCAGCCTGGACACGGCCCGGACCCCCGACATGTCTGCGCCGCCGCGTCCCGCAGCCCCTGCGCCCGCCGCGCCTGCGTCCCTCCCGGCCGCGGTCACAAGGTCAGGGGGCAGGGCTGGAGGTACTGCGCCTGCGCGGGCCCGCGGGGGCGGGACGTGGATCCACCGCGCAGGCGCATCACGGCGCGCCCGGGGCAGGACGGGGTAACACCGCGCAGGCGCAGCACGGCGCGCCCCGGGCAAGACCGGGTAACACCGCGCAGGATGAGGTAACACCGCGCAGGCGCACCACGGTCCGCCTCGGACCGGACGTAGACCCATCGCGCAGGCGCTGGAGAGACGCCTCGCCGGCGGATTTCTGCGGACCCGGGGTCTGGCGCTTCCGGCCGGGTAGGTCTGGAGCGTTCCAAGACGGTAGCAGGCCCGCGGCACGCCCGGCAGTCCGCGATCGCACACCGCGGCGCTGGGCCTGCCGGCGGGGCACCCAATAGCGCGCCCGCCCCAGCTCAGATGGTGCTTTGGGGCGCGAGTCGGGCGGCCTCCGAGCTTGTGGCCAGGGCTTGAAAACACGCGGGCGGAGACTGTCCCGTCGACGCCCACCGTGCGTGCGGGGGACGTGCGGCTGCTGATGGCTTGTTTGCAAGGACCGCACCCCGAGCAGGCCTGGGAGTTCGTGCCCAGGGCCCGTGGAGGGCACGTCGGTGCCCAGACCACCTTTTCTCAGCCGAGCTGGTCGCCGGAAGCTGCCCAGTCAGCAGCCTCTTCCGTGTCCCCCTTTGGTCTCTCACTTTCCAAATTCTTTTCTTTCCATTCTGTAAGTCGGAACAGGGCAATGGGGCACAATGCATATTTTTGGAAGAAAGTAAGTGCGTATGAGATGGCAGGTAGCTGTGACTTGTGTTTTATGTCTCATGTAGTTAACGGCTTTATGTGGTTTTGTGATTTATTTCAAGGTGTATCTTCATGAACAACTTAAATGACCCCCCGAATTGGAACATCCGCCCTGACTCCAGGGCTGATGGGGGTGATGGCAGCAGATGGAATTATGCCCTGTTGGTTCCCATGCTGGGACTGGCGGCTTTTCGTAAGTCATTTCCCCTCACGTTTGCGTTTTCTGGGTGTTGCGTGTGGGGCCCAGCGATCCCAGGCTTTGGGGGCAGAGACAGTGCAAGTCATACCCTAGTTTTATCCCGTGCTACACATCCACCCTTGGAAGCCAGCCCCTGCAGACATGTGTTCACTGTCTTGGAGAGAACCCAGCACTGCAGAGATGCTTATATGGGTGGACAGGGTGGTGCCCAGTGATGAGAATATGCCTTGGACCTGGGGTGCGTCCAATATCCAACCCAAATCTCAAGAGAGATCCTGCTCGTGGTGTTGCCCTTTGAAGCCTAAGGGCTGCTTAGGGTTCTCTGTCCCTAGCTTTGGGCCATTCCAGGGGTAGCATAGGGCAGCACCATGACACAGGCACCTTCCACCCTCCTTCCCCTCATTTGTGAGGGACAGTAATGAGCAGTAAGGAAGGTGCAGAATTCAGGGCAGAGACCTGAGGGACTTTATCAACTGCTTTTGTGAGCGGTAAGTGTGATAACAACTACACTGCATAAACTATCAACTGCTTCTGGAGTGGTCTGGTCCCTCCCAGCAGGATCCCTCCCACAGGGTCTGGGACAAAACCAAGGTTGAGAAGGGTCTTGCCATTTCTGCTGGCCAGCAGGGACCATCCAGTCTATCCAGCTCCTAACCTGATGTGATCTATTACTCTGGGCTTATCCTAACTCAGCAGGTCCCTCAGGTGCTCCATTCATGGAACCTGATGGCTGGAAACAGGACCAAGTCCATCTCCCCATGCTATCTTAGAGGAATCATTTCTCTTGGTCTCCCTGCATGCAGAGCAGTTCCTCCTCAGGAAAGTTCAAAGTGCATCTTCCTTCCTCGTTCTGCCAGGATTCAGGCAGTTACCTTATGCCCATGGAAAGACAGGTGCTTTGCCCCCTATAACTTGGGAGTACGGGGCTGAGGGGGTATCCCCCGGTGAGCTCAGGCTTGAGGGTGGAACTCGCGGTCTCCCGTGCAGAGCCTGCACCCTAGCCCTTCATTATCGCGGTTATGTGGACTTTCTCTGACGAGAACAGTCATAGTGGCATGGAAGCAAGGTTGTGGTGGGAAAGAACGGGACTCTTTTGGCTCTTTTTTTGTTCTGATAAGCTGTCATCAGGGAGCTGGTTATAGTACTGCCCACCCTTTTCTCCCTTACTCTGCCTTGGGGTTGGTGTTGGCCAAGCATCCTGTGTTAGGAGAAACAGTGACTATTGCTGATTCTGTGGCTAGAAGACAGGCTGCTGGAGGTTTGGATCTTACACTACTTGGTAGATCCCAGCGTGGCCTCTGGGCTCCAGATCTGGGACCCAGTAGGCAGGTGAAACCCATGTCCAAGCCTGGTCCCTTGCCAGTGCTGCCTGATGCAATTGGTCCATCTAGGCTTCACATATGACATCCAGGGCTTCCGCTGTTCCAGAACACATCTGCTCCCCCCATGAGTGCAAGTCCTCACACATACCTGCTTCTGCTTCTGAATCTGAGGCTCCAGCCTCTCATGTCACGGCAGGAAGGTAGTTTACCGTCACTCGGAAGAGGCATCCTGACTCTGGAGGGCCTCTATGCCCATTCTTTGCACCTCCAAGCCCCTACCTGCATTTCACCTCTCCCAGACACGTATCAAAACTTCTGAGGCCCAGACTGTGTTCTGTGCTGGTGGATGCTCATAGCCTACACCCATCTTGTCACCTGGTAGTGGGGTCCAGTGAGGAGCGGGCATTGGACTGCACTGCAGGAAGTAGAGTAGAGGGGACCTGTCTAAGGCCTTGTTCTGTTTGGTGGGAACCCAACCTGCCTCCAAGGTAAGAACTTTACCTTCTATAATCTTAAACGCATTACCTATATTTGGCCTTCCTTGGCATAAGGGCTTACTGAAATGCTGATGCTAGTGTTATCTTTACGGGAGGATCACTCTTACTCTGGCTGTTCCTTATGCTCATTTTTATTCCTGTCAGGTTGGATTTGGTCTCGGGAGTCACAAAAGGAGATAGAAAAGGAGAGAGAAGCCTATCGCCAGAGAACAGCAGCTTTCCAGCGCGAACTGGAGGCCCAGTACCATGCTGTCATCTCTGAGAATCGGCGTGCTGTGGCCCAGCTGTCCTTGGAACTGGAAAAGGAGCAAAACAGGACAGCAAGTTATCGAGAAGCCCTTATCTCTCAGGGCCGCAAGCTGGTAGAGGAAAAGAAGCTTCTGGAACAGGAGCGGGCTCAGGTCCTGAAAGAAAAGAGACAGTTGCAGCCACTGAGAAGTGCGTATCTGCACTACCTGGCGCAGGAGGATGACTGGCAGCGGCGTGCCCAGCTCCTGCTCAGGGAGTTTGAAGCCGCACTCACAGAGCGACAGAACATCTACTGCAGCCTGCTGCTCCCCCGAAACAAGCGACTGGAGATCGAGAAGAATCTGCTTGTCCGTGCAGCCACTGACCCGGTTGCTACTGAGCTGGACGTTGCTACTGGCCTGACTGACATATTTAAGCACGACACGTATTGTGGTGATGTCTGGAACACCAACAAACGCCGGAATGGGAGACTTATGTGGCTGTATCTCAAGTATTGGGAACTAATTGTTGAACTGAACAAGTTTAAGAGAGTAGAGAAAGTCATTTTAGAGAAGTGAGAGATTCTGAGCTGAAACCTCAGTGATCAACGGTGGTGTCATGCTTACCGCCCCACGTCTACCCTGTTCCCTCAAGTGCTGTTCACACGGACCTGCCACCACCCAGCACCTTCCCCAGAGCCCCCTGACTCTTGCATAGAAGGACAATGACCGTGAGGTGGCAGGAGGCTGGAGCTCCTTGTGAGGTTCTTCAGCTCTGAGGGTGCAGTTTCCAGAAGCATGTCTTGAGTTGCCCATATTTCACCATGCAGAGCAGGATAACCTCCTGTCTCAACTCTAAAACTGGAGAAAGTCAAGTGCAGTCTCATCCCTCACTGTAACTTCTTGTTTCATCCCTCCCTAAATAAGTTTTGTTTACTTAAAGCATTTTTCTCCTAAATAAAATCTAGAAGTTGTGGGTGATGGACAGGACTGCCTGATGTGTCAGCAGTCATTGTGACGTCTCAGAACTATACCACCGAGGGAGGGAAGGGCCGGATGTGCTTCCCTCTGACTCAAGTCTATATTCTCAGTTGTATTCTGTATTTTGGTGTGTATTCTGACAGCACAGCACAATAAATTTATCTCCCATCCATAGCAGCAGCTACACTGTGTGATTCTTTACTGGTTCTTTCCTCTCCACATTTTTCTTTTACCACTGTGTGGGGTCTCCTTTCACACCCCCTTCACCAGGCTCATATTCGCCACTCAATCCTGATCTAAGCTGTGTACACTGCTCACTCTGGGTCCAGTGTCCACCCCTGGGTTGGGTCGCCTGTGGGGGAGGATTCAATACTTAGCTGTACTCAGAGATAAGAGTGATTGCACTGACAAGAGCAGAAATACTGAGAGCAAACCCATCACAAACTCTCATTTGGGCATTGGGGGCAGTCTCAGAGCGGGCTGGTCCCCTGATTTATGAGGACACATGAGTCCCACCTGGACTCCTGACTGGGCATTGTGGGGATATCCAACCCCTGTGAAGGCACCCAGGTGTTGAGGGGTTCATAGGTTCAAAAGCCCTTACTTTTTAGGTCAATGCAACCCCCAGTAACTTGATGTTCCTGAATAAACCCCACCACAGTGTTTATTCCACTGGGTCTGGGGCTCCCTCCAGATGACCCCACTCAAGACCATTGACTTCACCATCTCTACAGTAAGGAGGGGCAAGGAAAGTCCTTTCTGATACTTCCACTTAGTTTCACAGATCAAACAGGTCCAGGTACACAGACCTGACTTGGTCAAAAACAAAATGAAAATGAAAAATGGGCCGGGGAGATTGCCCAAAGGGCTGAAACATAGTGTGAGACCTGACTTTGATCCCCATCACTAGTGATCTTTTAGCACTGCCGGAAATGACCTGGAAACAAACACATCAGCAGGAAGACAAGCAAGTGCTATTCATCTAATGAGCTCTGCCTTCTAGTTTCACTTCTGTGACCTTCAGAGCAGTCCCCACAAATTCTGCACATCCATCCAACAGCTCTAGGCTCCAAGTCTTTTCAGCTAATTTAAGCCATTTCAATTCAAAACCTTCTATTACAGTGTCTTCACCCAACCAACTGGAAGTCACCACATGCCATTTCACAGCAAATACCTCAAATGTGATTGCCAATTTCAGAGTCAGATGGCATGAAATGGACACTCAGCCATGAGCACACGCAGATGGGCAGTAACTTGGGGAACTATCCTCTGACTGCCCTGTGCCCATGAGCAGATGAGCTAATGTGAGCATCTTTATCTGCTGTGGAAAGAGACTTAGCTGAGAGCTGGACATGACCTAAAAATTCTTAAAATTCGCCTACAGATTCGTGGTTCTGTTTTTCTCCTTCTAAAAAGATAAATCCATGTGGAAAAGTATTTCTCTGTGCATAGACGGTCAAACTGGGGTAGAGAGAGGAAAGAGAATACAGACCACTTGAAGAAAGACTGATTTACCAGGAAATGTGACTGGAGAAAACGCAAGAAAATTTCTTGTCCAGGTTTAACTCAAAATTTCTTGTCCAAGGTTCAACTCAAAAGGGTTGGTTAAGGCATGGACACCAAGGAGCAGTGCTGGGCAGAGCCCGGACCAGGACACCAAGTTCATTTCAGGGAACTTGGGCCGAGTTAATATTCCCCATACTCTCTCTCTCTACTTTTGCTCCTTCTAAGCAGTTAAAAATATGTTGAAAGGGCTGGGGATGTGGCTCAGAGACAGAGCACTTGCCTTGCATGTGTGGGGTCTGGGTTTGACCCCAAGCACTGAACCCACCAGGAGTAGCCTGAATATTGCTAGGTGTGACCCCAAACTCCGAGTAAAAACATGTGAACACAACTGTGAGACTCAGTGTGCAATCTCTGCTCTAATGATCATTCCTTACAATTACCTTCAATTTCTCTCCAAATTTATCTTTCCTGTGGACAGGAAGGCTGGTTGCAGGCGTGCATGCAGTTCCACCGCCAACCTCTGCAGGGCCACACTAGCGAACATTTGCCAGTATCAATGGTGCTTCTGTGACTCTGTGTTTACAGTGGAAGTGACCTAAGTGACATTGGAATAATGTCAGGAGGTATAACGATTGACCTAAATTATTCCAGAAGTAAAATAAGAAGCAGGTGGTAATTCTGTAAATCCAGCCAGTTCACTTACTAAATAAGCTTTATTTCTCACTTGTATGTGTATGTGTTGGCACATAGTATGGTTGTGCTGGCAGATGAACTGTTTCTTACATGTCTCCTGGGAACAGTTCTCCTGCAGACATGGCCAGTGATGCTGTAACAGGGAAGAGCCCTCACCAGCGAGCCTGATGGTGTGACTCAGGAGCAAGCATTAAACTCTACATCTTGCTCTCACACCAGCCCTCTCCACAGTGTTCTATCTCTCACAGCCCCACCAGCCCTATTGACCACTCATCCCCGCCTGACAGAGGACAAACGGGGACAACAGCGCTATCCCCTCCTGTTCCTGGTACCTGAGTAATTACGCCTGCTCTTCTCACCAAGCAACCCCTGAACTTGGGTTCAGTAACAACCGTTTCTATGTGGACTTGGGTAAGAAGTGCTCAGTATTTACTCAGCTCATCTCTTCACAAAAAGATGGGAGGAAAAGTCTCTAGTGACTCCACTGTTTCACTGGATGAAAACAAGTCCATGATGAACACCTGACCTGCCAGACTCTACCAAAGCCCTCCTGCTCTCAATGTATACTTGGGAAACAAGGTCTGGAAGACAAATTATCAGTTAGCAAGGATCAAGTAACAGCCGTTAATCTTTACGAGCCCTCTTCCTGTAGGACACGCAAGTCTCCATGGATATCCTCATTGTGCCCTGCATCACTTAGACCCCTAGGGAGAGCAGGTGTGTGTCACAGATGCTCCGCCCCCAACATTACCAGGAGGAACCTCAGCTGAGCTGCCTTTGTGATTGGACCACTGACTGGAGCACTGCCCTGAGCTGCTTTTGTGATTGGACATTCAGCTGGGGTCTACTCTGAGCTGCCATTATGATTGGAAGACTGGTTGGAAAGCTGTCCTGAGCTGCTGATGGTTTTACTGGTGCCCACAGTCACCTTTCTCACTTTCTCACTCGCGTAGCATTGAAAACAGCTGTTCCCCTGATGGTCTGCACCCTGTACACCCCTTACCCCTCGCCAGGCTCCCGCATACAGAGCGGGCACTTCCGTTCTTTCAGCCATCTCCCCTCATCCACATTCCTCCACAGACTCCGTCTGCATTGTAATATTACACATGAATAAGCCATATGTGTTTATTAGGGTTTGCTTATGCTGGCCTTCAGCTCACAGACCAGGTGTGATAGAAAACACGTACACAGGTGTGGCCCCCGCCTGCGGGCAGTCAGCTGCATCCCCACAAAGGATGGGGCTCGCCTGGCCAGAGCACAGTGGCATTGCAAGACTTGTCTTGGGGAAACAGAAATGGGGCAGCAGAAGGGGGTCAACCGCCATACTGCTGTTTTCCCTTTGAGCCAGCAGCTGCCTGCTATCCCTTGTGTCTGCCTCTGTCTCTGTGCAGGGCCTGAGGAGGGCTGGGTCTCAGGTTGGCAGGTGGCCTGCACTCAGGGCTAGCACAGAGATGTGTTCTCATGTCTTCTCTTCCACCACCTTCCACGTGTTCTCTCATTCCCTCCCCTCACATGCAGCCAACACTGAATGTCCCCCTTTCCCAGGTTCCATGACCCAGAGACTACTCTGGTTCTTCAGGCTCCTGCCACCCAGTACTCGGGGGCTGCCTGCGCTAGAGAGCCAAGCTCCCTGGCAGTGCCTGCAGGCAGCTCTTCTCTGTGACGCTCTGCATGACGTCTCCAGGCTATGCTCCAGCTTGCAGTGCTGCTACTCCATCTGCTTCAGTGCTCTAGAGAAGTTTTCCAGAGCAGTTTTGAAAGCCTGTAGCAAGAAGGCCCCAAGCTCACGACTGGTTTCCTGGATGTCAGGATCGAAGCTCCCATAGAGTGGCGTGGAGGCCTGGATATCTTCGCGGCCGGCCCGCAGCAGCAGGGCATGCAGGTCCTGCGCAATCATGTCGTATTTGTGCTGGTCGAATTTTGATGCAGTCAGTTCATCCTGCGGGTAGGCTGTGCCCTCCGGGTAACAGTCTTTGGGCACTGGGAACTCCACCCATCGCAGCCGTGGCAGCTCCCCCAAAGCAGAGAAAAGACGCCGCAGGCCCTGGGCAGACAGCGGGTTCCCAAGGAAGCGCAGCTCCTGAAGCTGGTGGCAGGGGTCCAGGGCTGAGATTAGTATGCTTACGTGGCCATCCTCAATACCACACTCCTCCAGGGTGAGGACTCTCAAGGTGGGCGCTGCCCGGCGCAGCAGCCTGAAGAAGGATGAAGGGTACAGGCTCACCAGGCTATGCCCACTGAGGTCTAGCACCTCCAGGTGGGCAGCATGGGCACAGTCAGCCAGGAAGGCCATGTCTGCGTGGTTCAGGGAGCAGCTGGCCAGATCCAGTACCTTCAGCGGGGTCTGCAGGGGGCTACAGGCAGAGCAGAGAGCAGTGAGAAGGAGAGCATTTGTGACTGGGTGGCTGACATGGCTTGGGGCCCAGCCTGCTGCCTGACCCACTTGCCTGAGCTTGAAAGGGCTTTACTCTTGAATAGCAAAGCCCCAGCCAGGCCTCACATATTCCTCCTCCAGCTGCCTGTTGGCCATGTGTGCTGGGATCCGACCTTCCCTGCAGCCACAGCTCTCGAAGATGGATTTACCTACAGCCCATGAGTGGAGTACAGGAAGGGGCCTCCTGTGAGAGTGTCACATGCTCAGGACTCAGCGGGGAGGGAGTACAGCTCTTGGAGGAGCCCAGGTCCATAGAAATCAGGCCAGGAGGACCAGATCAGCATTGCCAGGGATGCGATCTGTGTGGTGGTGTGTGGGGTGGGCTTGCTCCCAGTTACTCTCCTGGCAGTGCCAATCTGCACCCTCAGAGCTAAGCTTCTTGCTGTCACCTATCATCCCTCATGCCTGGGCCTGGGACCCATGGCTTCCTCCACCTTGTTAGGTCTCGCAATGACTGTTACCAGGGCCCTGGATGCAGTTTCACACCTGACTGGAGTGAAGTTCTTCTTTTGTTTTGGGGCCACGCCTGGTGGTCCTGAGAGCCATGTGGTGCTATTCTTCACACCCAGGACTCCCAAAGCAAACTGTATCTCAGTTATGGAGCCACCTTGGGCCCTTGGTGAAGGGCTTGCTCTGTCCACAAATGCCCAGGAGGAAATTATCCCTCACATTAGCGCCAGGTCTGACCTTCCCATCACCCATTCTGTGTACAGCAGGTCCAGTGCAGACTGTTCCTTTGCTATGGAATCTCCTGTGTAGCAGCTGTCTGGGGCCTGCATTTGGGAAAGGGGCTCCAGCTTGACGCTGAATCTCTGACCCCATCCCTGATCCTACTGACTCCTGACCTCTCCAAGCTGACCCCAAACCTTCCTTTGCTAATCTCTGATCCCCCTACTGACCTGTCCCTGCTAAACCCTGAAACCCGCCCCCAATGACTTGGCTGTTTTCTGCTGACCTCTGACCTCCCCCTACTGACCCAACCTCCCCTGCTGACCTGACCCTCTTATGTTGACCACAACCTTTCTGTTGCTCACCCCTGAACTCTGGAAGCTTATGCTGCTATGAAATCCCCAGTGTCCCTCTCCCCATTCTTTCCATGCCTACATTTCCATGGCTGACCATCTCATGGCCACTGGACAGGACAGGAGAGACCTGGTCTGGTTCACTGTTGAGCCTTCCTAAATAGGAACATGGGCCCTGTGGGGCTGGACCTGCCAGAATCTCCTTAGGAAATTACAAGCTCGGCCGCCTTGACCTTAAGCCACCCTGCCCAGGGCCTGCCCACCTGCCATAGGAAGACTGTAGTTTCCTGTCCTATAGGACTCAGCACACTCAGAACTGTGAGGCCTTTTTGCCACTCTTGCTGGCCACCTCTAGTAAAGTGGCCAACACTGTCCTCACAAGTGAATACTCTTGGAGACCTCTGCCCCCTTCCAGGACTGTGGAGCCAGTCTAGGCTCAAGGTGGGGCTTTTCCACTCTCCAATAACCTAGGGTGGGTTGGGCCACTGATAGTGCTCAGGGGCTGTGCTCAGGAGAGAGCCCTGGTGGTGCTAGGAACCATACAGTGTGCTGGGATGGAACTGGTCAGCTTTAGGTAAGACAAATGCCTCACTTCTTGCTCTCCCTCTAGCCCACTGCTGTCATCGTCATAGCCAGTGCCAATTAATGACTGGCAAGAGATTTTCTCATTAAACGAGAAAGCCCCACCAGATGGTCCCATGAGGACACGGCTGTCTCCACCACCAGAGGCGATTCAGTCCCAAACACACACAGGAAGGGTAGCAGGTGTGGGGTGTGGACACCAACGCAGATTTGCATCCTGGCACCAACATGACTTTGGTCACCGTAACATGACACCAATACAGCTCAGGAAGTGACCTGACACTCAACACAGCTCCATTCATGTGTGTCCTGACACCAACATGACTCAGGACACTGTGACTTGACACCAACACAGCTACAGTCACATGTGACCTGACACCAACACGGCTCAAGACATTGTGATGTGGACCAACATGACTCTGGCCAGGTTCTTCTTCCCTGGGTCAGCTGCAGGGTCCCTCTCCTCCGGCCACCTTATAACTATTATCTCCACATTTCCATGCTGTGCCCCATGCAGTCCTGGTGAGCTGGTGCTCCTTGCTTCCCAGTTCTCCTGAGGGTTCTGGAGAGGCAGAGCCTGCTGTGCTGTGCTATCCAGGCCCCGGTCGCTCCACCTAACTCTGCCTCACTCAACCCAGAATGTCCTTCTGCACTGCCGACTCACGGCATGAAATGGTCAAGAACCCGAGGGATGTATCCAACCCTTGGCAATGCTAGGACCTGCCAGTCAGTCATTGCCTTTGCAGAAACTGGGGCCCTGTTTGAAGCCCATCACCAACTTCTCTCATGTCCCTGAATCATAAAGAGGGACCAGAGTCCCTTGGTCTGCCCTGCCAGGTTCAAGTCAGCTCCTTCTCCTAAGTTTCTTATTTCTGTCAACAAGTTTCCATGGAAATTTCCTGTCGAGTTGCACATCTTGGGGGGGACTGTCCCCTTGGATCTTCTGCCTGAAGGACAACTGTGCTCACCATCTTCTTTGGGCCTTAAGCCAAAACTTTCTCTGCCTTCTCCAGAAGTGTTAGAGACACCTGGGCCCTTACCATAATATCAGTGACCGGTAGGAGCCATTCATCACCTTCCTATACTCCATCAGAGAATGTGACTCACCAGTGATCCTCATGGCTGTCTTACCTGGTGCCCTCAGGCTCTACCTCTCTCTACAGATATTGCCACAGTGTAGACCAGTGGTAACTGGACTTGTCTGGCAAATCAGCTTCGAATGCTGATATCTAGCTCTGGTTTATTTAGATTAACAAGGTTGTTTAGATCCTCAATATGGAGAATCTATTCATGACAGTCTGTGTGAATCCAAGGTTAATATCTGTGGACGTATGCAGGATAGGGGGGACACAAGCAAAGCAGGTAAACTGGTTCTGTTTTCTTTGCAGTGGGTCATCTATGGAACAAACACATAAGAAACCTACCCAGAACTGCAGATAGAATGGTGAGAGTACCCATGTGGCCTCTGGACTGGAGACAAAGCACAGGGGTTAAGGCGCTTGCCTTGCATTAATTCCTCGCACCACATATGGCCCCTGAGCACGGCCAGAGGTCACTCCTGAGCACAGAGCCTGGAGTAGTCCCTGAGCACTGCTGGTTGTGACCCATCCCCATGTCCAATTGGCTTGCTGCTGACAACTGGTTTTCTGCCATCAGATGCTGTCAATACCTACTGCTGCCTCATCTCCCAAGTACAGTTGCAAGTCACTGATTTTGAAGAGCTGAGGCCTTCAAAGGTGCTTGGCTCTCTAGGTCTGGGGCATCTTGAGGTGCCTGGCCTTGCAGCTGGCCAGTAGAAGCATCTCATTCTGTTCAGGTCACAGTTGTGGTAGTGATGCCCACACAGACTCTGCTCTGATGTGCATTTGCCAGGGGTTCCCCAGCCCCAGTTAGCCTGGGGATTCCACCCACCATTTCTTTGCCCATTACTCAGTCATGCATGGTCTCCTGGACTAGTGACTGGGGCCTGGCCACTGAAGCGCCTGCCCTTTTGCTCTAAGTAGTCAAAACCTCGTTGAGTCTTATCCAGGCCTGAGATTCTGAGTGTTTCCTGCCCCTAACACAGAGAGGCTCTGTCCAGTGCTGTGGATACTGCAGAGATGGTCACCTATGCATGCCAGAGAATAGCCTGGACACAAAGGGACAAAATGACAAGGAAAAGTACAGCAAGGGAACTGCTCAGACATAGAGGGATTCAGAGAGAGCACACTGGACACTAGTGTTGGAAGAGACAGACAAGGAGTTACCTCTGGCCACCTGTACCCAGAAGACCCAAACCACCAGCTCCCTGATTTGCAATGCTGCAGAATTGAAGTATCTTCAGGCCACTCTACATCTCATTGTAAAGGTCAAGGACTCAGAGGCCACTCCGCACTCCCACCCTCCTTCCTGACCCCTGCTTGGAAACCCCCATGTGGTGCTACCCACCACCTGCAGCCCACATCTGACTCAGTCCTCAGTCTCAGGTGCACCTGCGCTTGGCCCAAGGAAAGTGTTTCCCTGATTAATTCTCAGGTGACAGCACTTGTGGCTGGGAAACGAGAAGTTCCTCTCTTTAACTGTTATGAAATACTTTGTTCCCTGCCCTCCACGGTGCCACCTAGGCTGTGACGCACAGCAGGACAGCACCGATTTTCATCTGGGCCTCCTGAACGGCAGCCTGGTAAGGAGCCAGCCGCCCCACCAGAACCGCGTCAGTGGGCAGGAGCCCGAGACGGAAGCAGCCAAGCGTGGGAGACAGCAGACCAGCGCGTGGCTCTCAAGGGAGGACTCACTGCAGCTGGCGCAGGGACAGCTACTCCCACGCGGGTGGCAGTATGGACAGCAGGTGCCATGCACAGCTTCACCTGTGTGCCTGCTGAGTAGGACCTTCACTCTTCCTACTGGCCACAAAAAGTGCCAGGACACTGGTGACCTTCAGTCAGGCTTCAGGATGGGGCTGACCCTCCCCTGCACCCCAGACTCACCCAAGCAGCTGCTGGATCTTCCCAGTCAGTGTGGAGAAGGCCACACTCAGCTCTGTAAGTTGGGCCATCCGGCCGAGTGCCTGGGAGATAGAAGTGAAGAGGGGGTCCTTGCCATCGGGGCCCAGGGTGTGGGCGGGGGGTGCATCCAAGGCCTTGGCGGGCAGGGTGAGTGCAGTCAGCTGGGGGAGGCCAACCTGGGCCAGCATTTGCTGCACGTGGCCGGTGTGCAGCCGCACGTTGTGGACCACCTGCAGCCGGCGCAGCTGGCCCGGCCCTGCCAGGCGTAGTACCTGCAGCAGTGGCCCTGGGTCCAGGCTATCTGCCCGCAGGGACACGCAGCACACTTGCAGGGGTGAAGCTCCCTGGGGTGCCAGGGCCTGCACCACCACCTGGAAATTACCCTCGGTGACAAAGATGTCGGCCAGGACCTGGATGGGGACCGGGGCAGCCCGAGGCTCAACCTGCAGTGCACAGCAGGTCCTGGCCAGCAGTTCGGTGCGGCCCCATCTGCCCAGCGCCTGCCCACAGGGACACTGCTGCACCTGCACATCCCGGAGTCCTGTGAGGTCCACCAGGCGCAGCCCCTGCTCCCCATCCCGGAGAACATGGTCAGCCAGGCCCTGCACACATGCCTCCAGGCAGGCCCTGCATGCCCGGTCCCGCAGGTCCTCAGGCTGCTCTGTGCTCGGCGCCAGCAGCAGATCCAGCCGGAACTCCTCCAGTGGCCAGCGGCCCAGCAGAACACGGATTACCTCACTCTGCTCTAGCAAGTAGCTGGCTTTGAACAGGAGCGGGTACAGGCTGTGGGCCACCCAGTCCAGACTCTGCTGAGCCACCTGTGGGTGGGACACAAGGGCCGCGGTGGACAGGAAGCGCAGTGTCCTCATGGCGCCTGCAGGAGCAGGAGGTCCCAGTGCCCCCCGAGCTGTGTGCTGGACTTGCTGCAGCTGCTGACGCCACACTGGGCGGGCGGAGGCCGCTTCTGTGGTCACCTGACTGCTATTTTGGGCCTGTTGGGAGCAGGGTGTGGACATGCTGGTGGATATAGCTATGTCCTGGCGCCCCTGGTGAAAACGGAGATGGCCCAGTGCTGGTTCTTGGGGCCCTTGACAGTGTCTGTGTCTGCTATTGGACAGCCTGTCCTGGGGGTGCAGTGGGCCCATCCTGGGGCAGTTTCTTTCAAGGGCTGTGCCCGCCATGACAATCCCTCCTGAAGCACCCACCAGGCCCCCTGCTGACAAACAAGCAGGCCCCAAGGTCAAGAAGGCCCTGCCTATAGCAGACTTTGGGGACCCTCACCCCCTCTTAACCTAAGGTGTGTGGTTGGGGTCACAACAATGGGGTAGAGTCAACCACCTCCTAATTCATGGTTTTGAGAGGGATGATGCCAGTTCCATGGGGGAAACTGACCTTCCTATCCTTTGCCAGGGCTGGCTGGCTTCCAGCCTCACTGCTAGGTAGCACCTTCTTCACACAGCGAGCAGGACCTGCTGTGAGGCCAGCGCCAGCCTCCCCTTCCTGGGGCTTATTGTCCCTTCACAGGACAGACGGTCTTCTGCAAGTGCCCTACTGCCATGGGCTTTCTAAGAGGGGTGTGAGTGTCTCTGAGAACGTATGTGAGCATGAGAGTGTGTGTGAGAGCTTGAGAGTATGTGTGTGGGTGTGGGAGTGTATATAGGGGTGTTTATGTGAATGTGTTGTGAAGAGGTGTGGGAGAGAGGGTATGAATGTATGAATGTATACGTGTGTATAAGAAAGAGTGTGTGGTGTAAATCTGTTTACTGGTGTATGCATGTGTGTTGCAGGTAGTGATATCTGCATGTTGGGGTGCGTATGGGTGTTGGTGTGTTTGAGGGTGTGTGTTGGGGTATGTGAGTGTGCCAGGGGTTGTGTGTGTGAGTGTAGGTATTAATACATATTGGGGTGTGGGTGTCAGTTTGTTACTATGGGTATGAATGTGAGTGAGTGGGTTGTGTTTGGAAGTGCATGTTATGTGTAAGCATATGCATGGATGTTGGTGTGTGAATGAGCCAGCATGTATGGGCATCAGTATGGATATGTGCTACTTGTGAGTATGGGCTTCAGTGTGTGTGAACCCAAGGGCAGAGCAGGGTCTGTTCTCCCCATTCACAACCCTCAAACTCCCAGCTATTGAATCAGACTGATTCCCAGTCCCAGTCCTATACCTCCATGGACCCTGGGGTGGGGCAGCTCCCAAACTCGTGCTGATCCCCTGCAGAACCACAGCAGAGCAGCAGTGAAAACCAGTGCAGTTCATTTACATTCGTAAATCTGGAAGAAGTCAGCTCTGGGATGGAAATCAGGAGACAGTCCAGCTCCATTCTGAGGAGGGGCGAGGATGGGGATGGAGGTGGGAGGTTGGGGTTGAGGAGAAGGTGTCCCTGGCACAAGCTCACTGGAGCTTGGTTGATATCTCCCTGACACTCCTCTTATCCTGGGAGGCCCTTCACAGGTCACCCACACACAGATCTCTCCGGGGGGTGGTTGTGTCCCAGTCTCACTGTGGATGACCAGTGGCCTTAGAGGTTCCCAGGTATTGTCTCTGCTCCCAGGTATTGTCTCTGCTAAATACACACAGTGTGTTGAAAAGGAAGTAGACTCAGGCACAGTGCCACTGAGGGAGCATGTGGAGCAAAAGTGGCACAACCACACATGTGTAAGAATGCACCTGGGTGCAGTCACACACTTGGGGGAACATGCCTGGGGGACCACACACCTGGGAGGATGCACCTGAGAGCAGCCACACACACGTGGGAGGACACACCTGGGGGTCACACACCTGGAAGTCTCACACCTGGAAGCAGTGCCTATTGCAGTGTGTCTGAGACCCTGTTCCCCTGCTGTGAAGTTCCCTGTACTCCCTGGGCCTGCCCACCTGGGTCTGCACAACTGGGTCTGCACACCTGCGCCTGCATACCTGGGCCTGTACATCTGGGTCTGCACTCCTGTCCCTGAACACCTGGGTCTGAATACTGGGTCTGCACACTTGGACCTGCTCACCAAGCCTGCATACCTGGGCCTGCAAACCTGGGCAATGACCTTGAAGAAGATGTTTCTATGGCTAAAGGACAGGATAACTGACTATTGCTTGACAGGGACACACAGGGACATGTCCACAGGACACACAGTGATCCCTCTTAGGAGGCTTTCCCCTCCCCATAGCCCTGAGCAGGGAGGGCACCCCTCACCTTTCTGCTTACTGCATCAGTCTTCCTCACAGCGTTGGGCCTCAGTGAGAGAGAACCTGCTCCAATTCTGAGTGGCCGAGGGGCTCTGGGCCAGTGGACTTTGTGGGGTGGGGGTCCCCAGCTGCACCTCTGGCTCCCCTCAAGCCCCTGACAGCTACCCCGCTATGGCTGACACTTTTCCCTGTGCTCATCAGCTCCCCAGCACCTGCTTCCTGGGCAGTGGGGAAGGGCCTGGAAGGGTCCCTGGGCATGTATCCCTGGATCCTGCTACATGGCCTCCCTCCTGCCCATACAGAGCACTTGAGATCTGCTTCATGGTGAAGCTCCCAGAGTCGGTTGGGGGAACCACCCACCAGTCCCTGGGCCAAGCTGGCGGGTCGTGAGGCTGTGTCTGAGGCAGCCTCTCCCAAAAATAACTGTGCCTCCTGGTGCCCAGGCCCAGCTCACTGCTACTCACCCTGGCACCATGCCCCCCACTCACCCAGCAGCTCCTCGGCAGCTCTCAGGACACTTGGCAGTAGGCTCTGGCCCAGGTGGTTGGGGCCCTGCCCCCTTTCTTCCCCCACCCCCCAAAATGCCTAGGCCCCTCACTCCCCACTGCATGGGCCAAAGGCACTCAGCACTCTTAGGCTCACCTTGCTCTGCAGCCCTGCAGGGACTCTACTGTCTAGAAATGGAGATGAGGTTCACTGAGAAATAGATTCAGAGCTTCCATTTTAAAACACACTACTACACTCGCATGTGCTTGAAACCTCCTCAGGTTGCTTGTGGTTTGGACCTTTGGGAGCTGCCAGGGGCCTGCCTGCACCGAATGGCATGACCGACCTCCAGCCACACCCTGTTGGTTACTCGATTTCCAGCAAGGACACTGGGGCAGGGAGAACCTTCCTTTCACCTGTCATTAGACTCCATGTCTGACCTTACCTAAGAGAGCTCCAGCTGGATCAGGACTAGAACTGTATCCAATGACCCAAACAAACAGGCAGAGGAGAGAGACAGGAGTGTGTGCCTGGTCTGGGATGTGGGTCAGAGAGTCTCACTGAGCCAGACTGCAGGTCAGCACTAGCTGACAGGATGGAGGGAGAAAGTGGGCTAGGGAGGGCACGTGAAGCATCTCAGATGAGAGGCCCTTCCTCAAACCTCAAAGTAGAAGATAATTCTAGTTGGTCTGAAGTTGGTTATTGGGGTGGGGGCGGTATTAGGCCTCACCTATAGTGCTTAGGGGCTACTCCCAGCTCTATGCTCAGGAATGACCCCTGGCAGTACTGAGAATCGAACCAAGGTACTTCCTATTCTCTCTCTCTCTCTCTCTCTCTCTCTCTCTCTCTCTCTCTCTCTCTCTCTCTGAATCAGAACAAAGTTAAAGAATGGATTGCAAACTGGGTGACCCTGCCTAAACTACCAAATGGTCATTCCAAATAGTCCATTGAAATGTGAGAAATTCACAGAAACCTGGCAAATGGATGGAAAACCCACTAGAAAACAAATGAAAATGATAAATGATGTTCCAGCATAGGAAGAAAAGTTCAACAGCAAAAGAAAGAAAACCACGATGAGATTTCATCCGAAAGCGCATGAGCTGGACTGGCAGTTGCAGACCTTCCTGGGTGCTACCTGAGGCCCCAGGAAGACAGTGGGAGTCTCAGGAAAGACTGCTCAGACCACGTACCTTCCCTTCATGCACAGCAACCACGGGAATCTCCAAAGCAGGGCACGGCCAGGAGAGGAGGGCATCCCTGCTGGGGCCTGCAGGAGTCCGGGAAATGTGGGGTCTGAGGGAGGCCGGTCTGTTCAGTTCTCCTTGGACTGACCTAATCACCTCCCTGTTGAAGCGTCCTCATATCCCAGCCACTCTCCAGTCCCTGTAGATGCCTGCTGGAGGCGAGCACCAGCCTGGCAGCAACCCCGACAGTAATTAGCACAGAAGGCAGCTGTGCAGGGCATCCTGAGGGACCCTATGTCACTGTGACGCGTGTCCGAAGCAATGCACTCCTTTGCTCCAACATAGCTTAGCAGAACTGAGGCCCCAGGAGGCTTTCCCTGGAAGGCGGGAGCTGGGCTGCAGGGAGTGAAGGTCACGGAACTCAGGACAGGGCCATCTGGGCCACAGCCAGGAGCAGTGAGGGCTAGCCCCACGTTGGGGTGGTCTTGTTCACAACATGCTTGGTGTCTGCTAGATATGTTTAGGCTGAGTGGGATGGGTATGGGCCTTTGAGTGGCTCTTGCAAATACATCCTCAATGGCTGGCTCACCTGCTGAGTGGCACTAATCTGACCTCTGTGGTCACCCACTGGTCGTTTTCACTGGCACCAAGATCCTCACTCCTCAACCAGGGCAGCATGGAATTGCTTTCCAGTCAGAGGACAACTGGTAGGTTTCCAGGACCGGCTCCATCATGGCCCTGAGCAGGACAAACATGCTCTGTGGAACCCAGTCCCACTGATGAGCTGAACAGAGCCCTCCCATCGCCTCTTGCTGGGGTCTGTACCTGCCTTGCCTCGCTCCCCTTCCCTAACCTCTGTGTATCTTTCGTCTCTGGTGCTCCATGAGCTATGTTATGCTTATGATTCTTCTATCGATGACAAGTAACCAAATTATCTGTTCTCAAGTTGTCTGTCAAACAAGTACAGTAAAGTCACCCAAGGCTGCCTGTGCAGTGTGCAGGGCCGTGTGTGCACACAGAGAGCAGAAAACAATCTGTAGATTTCAATTATTTTT